TTTTCTGTCCTCATTCTCCTTTGCATTCACCTTTCCTGGATCAGTGTTCTCAGGATTGGGTGCTGAGGACCCTTTCTTGTTGCGTCCTCTTCTCATATTTTTTGTTCCTTCCATACAAGCGTATATAGGAGGCCCAGTTTCTTTCTTTGTCGGTTACAGTTTGCTTGAATCTGCTGGCTAGGTGTTCCTGCCCACTGCAGTGTACTAGGGAGACACAGACCTGGGCAGCCTCTGCGGGGCCCACCCCTCCAGGTCAGTAAACCTGCTGAAGGCTTCACTGCTAGGGTGCACCACTAGGTGCTGGGACCTGGTTTGGGCTAGCCTACTGAGTCTTAGTCTGCAGTGTCACCCTGGCCAAGTGCTCCCCATCAATCCCGCTTGAGAGGGGAATGTGACTAAAGTCACTGTCGCGTCCTGTTCCGGCTAGTCTGCCTGGTCCCAGAATGTCCTCTGTTGGAGCCTCCCAGCCTATGGAAGGGTCCCCATTCCTCTCAGTTATCGCAGGTCAATGCAGAGCTCCCCACCAGTCTCGCTCTCAACTCTGTTCACCGATTCCTGCTCTCAGAGCTTTCGTGTCTCTCTCCCTGCTGTGCTGATTCAGACGCAGCAGCAGTGGCAGGAAATTCAAATCACGGTTTCTAGAGGTGCAGGTTCCAGCTTCGGCGCTGAGATTTTATCTGTTCCTGTCATAGCACTGGGATTGCATCTCCAGTTGGTTTCTCTCAGCTTAGTTCGTTCCTGGGTCAGCAGGGTATATCTCTCCTTGCTTAGGACTCCTCACACCGCATCATTCCTGGATTCTAAGTGGGGTATCTCAGAGAGCCTCTGTAGCTGCTGTTATCTATCCACCGTGTTCTCCCGGAAGTCTTAAGAATGGGCTTTTGAAACTCTGTGAGGGTGGGGACGGGGCAGGCTGAGCCAGTCTGGGTTTGGGCCTGGGGGCACAGATGACTGTGAAGAGCTGTAAGGAAGTCTGCTCCAGGGCTGGGGGGAGAAACAGGGGTCCTGGCAGGAGTGGGTGGGCCCCTGGGGGTCTCAGAAGAGTCACAGTAGTGGTGATGACACTGCCTGACCCAAGTAAGGGCTATGCATTAGACTATTCTCTACTGGACTCCTCCTCAAGTGACCTTCTGTGTTATATCCACTTCACAGAGGGAGGGAGGCCCAGAGTGGCGCGGCAGCAGCAGGGTGGGGGGCTCTAGAGGAGGCAGCCTTTGATTGCAGTGGGTGGTGCAGATGGTGACACAGGTGATACGGGGTGGGGACACGTCTGTGGTCAGGATTAAAGGGGCACTTTCAGACCCGCCACTGCACTTGACTCTGAGTTTGGGAACAATCAGAACTGCACCCCAGGCCTGGGGCTTTACCATGAGACAACACCCAAAGGAGACAGGGAGTGGTGCAGGGGGACCCCCAAGCATCTGTGGATAGCAGATGAAGCCTATCCCACTGTGGGGGCGGGCTGGGGTTCACGCCAGGTCCTGCACCTGCGTGTCATTCAACCCGTGCCCACACCCATAGACTTGGATGTAATACGGGTGCCTTGGCCCAGAGCAGGCAGGGCCAGCGAAAGGTGCCAAAAGAATGAGGATCTGAGGCAGCAAAGGGCCCGCTGGGCAGAACTTGCCTCGCCAGCATCCCACCGGGAAACACAGCCTGTCCTGCCACTGCCCGCCGGGACACTGCACCCTCCTGCATTGGAGGCTGACATGCCTGGTGCACCTGGTGAGCCGGTCTACACACAGAACTGGGTGTGGCTAGATCAGGCCCCGCCTTGATGGGGAGGAGTCAGTGGGAAGCCACGCCCTCCCACACTACCTTCACCCAGCACTCCGGAGGCAAGAGGCACTGACTGAATTTGGAGTGGAAGGGGGCAAATCTACACTGGAGGCGTTGGGGAATTGTCCTGTGCATTTACTCTTCTTTCATTATCATTATTTTGACCAAGACTCCAAATAGGGGCTGTGCAGCCAGGGGTTTGACTTGGAGACGTCAACTTCGCCCACAGCTGGGGACTGGCTCCCCACAGGCCTGCCACATCTGGCAGTGGCAGCTCCTAGGGGTGAAATGGGGTCTCTCACAAGCTGGAAACCCTTCTGCTGTGCCTGGTGGGTCTCCTGGGCTCAGGAGAGCCCTCCTGGGTGGGTCTCCTGGCTTCTCTCAAGATGCGTGGGACGGGCTCTGGAGCCAGGCAGGCTGGGTTCTAACCCCACTGTGCTGTCCTGACAAACCCATCAAAAGCTGGAAAATATCCCAAGTCAATGCATGGAGTCACCTCCCCTAGGCGCCTTGCCCAGCCTGGCTTAAACACGCTCAGAACCTCTCCCCTGGCTATCGGCGGCTAACAACCTGTTTTGTGATGGAGCTGAGTGTCCTGTGTCATGTACTGGTCACCACTCTGAAAGTAAACCACAGAACATTGGACGGGCACATCACCAACCCTTGTAAAGTTGGGAAATCTTAAGCTGAACCATTATAAGTAAGCAGGGGATCATCTGGATTTTTCAGACAAAGGTACGAAGCACTGAAAAGACTTCCTAATTATTTTACTGCACTCTACCAGTATTTATGCAGGGTGGAAATAGTTAAGTAATAGGCTGCTATTTCATACCGCCCCAAACTGAGTTCAATGGTGTTGGGGCTGGGAACTTCAAGCCGGGCATGCCACGAAGGTTGGCAAAGCCTACAAAGCAGGTGCTTGATTGTTGATTGTTGACTGCTTCCTTGATTGTCCAGTTTTGAAGGAACCACTGAGAAACATTAACACAGATGAACCTCTAATGTGTATACGTCTACAGCCCTTGCAGTGGGGTTAGCACAAAAACTTGATGGTTTTCTTCCGTGGTTAAATGATTCAGCAGAGCAGGCACCGATGGAGTGATGTTAGGAGCTCTTTTTTTATTTTATAGTGAATAGCAATATGTAAAATATTGCAACTGTATACTGTGACACACATCACTTATATCAACAAAATTAATAACAGACACATATCTGTATTCTCCTGCTGCTGAGACTCAGTTATCTGACCTCACTAATTCACCTCTGCCAGGAGTTCAGGGCTCGGAGCAGAGAGGGGACAGCGTGCTCCTGCAGAGGGCGCCAAAGAGGTGGGGGGGGGGATGCTGTTTGCAGCGCGTCTGCCTACTGGGTCCTGGAAATGGAGAAAGGCAGACTGAGCCGAGCCTGATCTTGGGCAAGCTTGTTCCTCACCAGGGGGGTGGGCGTGGATGTGGGCTCCAGGCAGGCGTGCTGGGAAGCAAGTGGTGGCAGGAGGGGGTGACCAAGTCTGGGTGACCAGTTCTGCAGAGAGGCGGAGGGTGGAGTGGTTTCCTGGGACAGCCAGGCGGTATCGGGGTCACTGGAGGTCAGAGGTCATGGCCCCAGGAGAGCCACTGTGGCCTGTGGGTGTGGGTGCAGGGTGGGCCAGGCACTGGCCGCGGTGGTGGTGGGAGGCGAAGCTCAGGGTCAGAGGGAAAGAAAGATGAGCCAGGTAAGATTGGAAAAGCAAGTGGCAGCATGGGGACTACTCAACGGAGGTGGGGAATGAAGGGGACAGTGAGCCGGTTCAGCGTCCCCGGGCCCCAGTGGGGCTGAGGCTTGGTGGCCTTGGCGGGACAGGAGAAACTGATGTCCCAGTGGGTGCAGGTCAGGGAATCCGCTGTGCGTCCAGCTCTTGGTAGTGCCGCAGTGTGGGGCCAGGGCCACTGAGCAGCAGGTCTCTGGGACAGTGCAGAGGTCTAGACTCAAGAGGGTGGGGTGTGACATGGGAAAGAGAGTGGATTAGACTCGGGTTTCTATGGTAACGGATGTAAACAATGCAGAAGGGCCGGAAGGCAGGAGGATTCCTGCAGGGCTCATGGCTTGTGGTGATGGCCATTAAGGCCATGAATGACGTGCAGGGATGGGGCTTCACCAGCCAGCAGCCTTCGAGGCCCTGGGGAGCCCTCTCCTTTCCTGCCTCACCTGAGAAATGGGGATGATAAGACTTGCTTGGCAGGGCTGTGCGGAGCGTAGGGATGTCAGTGTCACTGTTGTTTGATGGGACAGAGCAACCGTGGCAGGGGTTGGCGGGAGGTGGCATGGCTTCTCCAGACAGTATAATATTTGTGTAGGTTCTTGGGAGTCCAGGGATAGAGAAAGAATATAAGAGGACCCCTCCAGAGGCATCTTTGTAGTTAAGTGGACGTCTGTAAGTGGACCTGATCTCGGTGCTGGCCTCGAGGCCAACACCCTGGGTGGACCTGTGGGTGATGGTAGAGAGCCTTGATGTGGGAACCCGGACATTATTGTGGACTCCTTTCCGGATGTGAGCTCCCCGTGGAGCCCCAGGACCAGCCTGGAACCTGGCACAGAAGGTTCGTGTGTATTCAGCGGCAAAGGCCAAGATGTCAGCCCCAGGCCCTGTCAGCTTGGGTTTGGTGCCCTGGAGCCCGAGTCTGCAGGGCATCCCCCTCTGTAGCTTCAGGCAGGCTGCGCCAGGCAGCCGTGCCCACAGCAGCTGGTGTCAGGAGGAGCGGGCTGAAGGCTTAGCAGACAGGCCCGAGATCCCTGCTGGGCACTGGGAAGTAAGAACTCATTCATTCCTTTTGTTAACAAATGTTTTGTGTGCATACTGTGAGCCAGGCCCTGTGTAAGTCCTAAGGAGACAGCAGTGAGCACAAGACAAAACTCCCTGCCCTGGTGGAGCTGGGCTAGTGACAGCCCGACAACAAATAGGGGAAGGGCCAAGGGGGAGAAGACGGGCTGAGTGGAGTGGTGGGGTTTTGTTAAGAAGGTAATGTTTAATCGGAGCCCTGAAGTTTGAGGCAGTGAACACTGGGGAAACTGAGTCTTCTTTGTAAAGGGATTGGTCATGCAAAGGCCCTGAGGTGGACAGCCTGCATCCTTTTGTGCCAGCAGGAAAGCCAGTGTGGCTGAAATGAAATGAGACTTAGGGTGGTCACCCCACTGCGGCCATTCTCCTGAGCCCTGACTCTCTTCCTCTCTTCCTTCTCTGCCAGAGATGTGCCCAGAGGTGCCAAGACCTTCAGGGTCTCTGGGAGCTCTAAGGTGGAGGTCTCTATGGTCTATGATCCCAGATGGGTGACAGAACCCACAGGCAAGGCCCACTGGCCACTGGATGCCAGTGTGGATGTGGTCATATCTGTGGACACAGCCAGTAAGGATTTAAACGACCTCAAGGTAAGAGCCATTCCCTCCCAGTGAGGGGCTGAGTCTCCCTGTACTACCCTGACTAAGGGTGTGAGCCCCCTTAGGTGCCCACACCCACATCACCTCCACCCCACACAGCACAGCATCTCCATGGACACTCAAACTCTCAGACACCCCCGCACCCAACGCCATGCAGGGGCACATGGCACCCACAGAGATATGAGGCACCTGGTCTCCTCTCCAAATCAGGGGTACCCCCGGTTAACACTGTAGTCAGCCTGCACACAGGCCCCCAGAGGCCCCCAGACCCCCCAACCGCACTCGTCTCTCTGTGCACATCTCATCTCTGGCCCTGCATGCTGGTGATGCCCCCGTGACCGTACTCCATACACAGAGGCCCCACTTCTCCCATCCACCACCCTGCCCCCCTCCTGGCTCCCCTGACCAGCTCAGAGCCAGGGTGGCCCCAGCTTCTGCCTGTGGAAGGCAGCCTGGGTGTGCCCTGCCACCAAGCAGGGCTATGGACTGAGCCCCCCACCTTCCCTGCTGCCAGTCTCTGGGGAGCCATCTCTGTTCCCACAGGTGAAGGTGTCATATTTCAAGCAGCAGGAGGACGATCCCCTGGGCCACAGCATGCTCTACCTGACTGCAGTGGGTACGTCCTGTGTGTCCCCACTCCACCCCTCACCGCACAGCAGGCAGTTAGAGGGCCGTGGTGGGGTATGGGGGCGGGCACAGGGAATGTAATGGCTGGGGCCACAAGAGCCTAGAATGTTCCCTGCCCCTGGCTAGGGCCCCAGGAGGTCTCAGCACCCACAATCTACAAAACTGTAGAAGCCACATGGCCCATCAGCCAGAGCCCAGGACAGGTCACTCTGAGAATGGCAGTGCCCAGCCTTGGCACCTGCACCAGCTCTCAGCTGCCAGGGTTCAGGGCCACCAGCATGCAGTCTAGGAGCCCAAGGCCGCTGGTGCCCAGCACGTGCATTCTAGAGCTGAAGGCCTGGGTGCCTCTACACCAGTACCGTGGATGTCACCCCAGTTGGGGACGGTCCCCAGGGCTGGGGTCTGGGCCTTATGGGGCAGGGAGTGGGCCGGGCCTGTCTGCTCTGGACGTGAGGGTGGTGAAGACAGCAGCTGCTCCCCGCCCCTTTCCAGATGTTTCCCTCGATGTTGATGCCAGCCGCATAGGCAAGGTGAAAAGGTGCCAAAGGGACAAGGTGAGACCCCGCCTCTAACGGCCTAGGGAGCCCATCCGGTAACGGTCCACGTTAACCACGCCTGCGTGGCCTTGGGGACACGGCCACCCCCTCTGGCCGCTCCTGTGCTGACCTGGAATGGGGATCTGTCTTTTCCCTTTCTTTCTGCTTTTTTGATTTAGGGAACCCCTTAAACATGGTGGGTGCTTCTTGAAATGGGGGACTAGGGTAATCAGCCCCAATTAGACCATGAGGGAAGAAGAGAATGGGGTGAGCTTGGGGCTTCATCCCACAAGAAGTACCTGGAAGATGGCCTGGCAGGGAAGTACCCGAAAGGCAGCCTGGGTCACAGGGCTTTGTGGACGAGCTGGGCAGAGCTGCCCTGCGGGCCACTCACTGTGCACGGCGGGCTGTGGGTCCAGCGCCTTCCCGAGGGCTCCAGGCCCCAAGGTATGGCCCAGCTTTAAATCCTGAAGCAAATCCAGAAGTCCCCAAGCCAGCCAGCGAGCAGCTCAGACTGTGCCCACAGCCCCCTCCTGCCGACCTTGAGCTCTCTTGATTTGCCACAGAAGACCTGGCGCTGGGGCCCCGAGGGCCACGGGGCCATTCTGCTGGTGAACTGTGACAAGGACAGCCGTAAATCGCAGAAGCCTGATCTCTACAGCAGCCAACCGGTGTCCCTGGATGGTAGTGACAGAGGTGCCAGGGCGGGGAGGGGGTCCTGCTGGCGGGGTGCAGGCAAGGTGCCTCAAGGGGGCCGCTCCCCCAGACCTACAGGACATGTCCCCCATCGTGCTGACCTGCGACGGCCCTGATGAGCTGTTTGACCGACACAAGCTGGTCCTGAGCGTGTCCTCGTCCGACTCCAGGAGGGTGCGGGTCTTCCATGCTCGGGGTGAGTGGCTGCCGGGCCCCATCGCTCCTGCTCCCGTCCTCCAGGCAGTCCTCCCTCCCTTTCCTGTGGCGTCCATCTCCCATCAGCCCTCCAGACTCTCAGAGAAACCCGCAAACAGCCGCTCCATCTGCGTGCGCGGCAGGGCTCCCACTGTGGGCTCAGCCTCTGGACGCTTATTTTATTTATTTTATTTTTTGGTACAAGGTCTCATTATGTAGCTCAGCCCAGCCTTGAACTCACAGCGCTCCTCCTGCCTCAGCCTCCCGAGTGCTGGGGTTACAGGCGTGAGCCACCACGCCTGACCTAAGGTTGTTTTATTCTGTCTGTTTTGATGCTGGGGATGGAGCCCAGGGACCAGAACAAGCACTCTGCCACTGACCTGCAGCCTGGCCTCACATTAAGCACGGCAAAGCAAGCAGCTGGTGGCTTCTAGAGCACTCTGGGTGCTGTACAGAAGACCCCCTCTGGGCCCTCACCACCCATGCACTAAGTTGCCCAGGCTGGACTCCAGCTGGGGATCCTCCTGCCTCAGCCTCCGAGAGTACAGGTGTAATCCCTCTCAGGTGTGCACCGCCAGGCCCAGCTACTCCCTCACTTTGGGGATGGATGGTATTCCATCTTAGGGGTGCCCCACGCTTTGCACATTTTGTTTATCTTCATCCGTGGAGAGACATTTGGGTGTTTTCACCCTTGGCACTGGGTGTGTTTTGCTCTGTGTGCAGTTTGAAGTTGGTCTGTTCTATGTAGGAGGAGCTGAGGCACAGAGAGGTTGAGTCACTGAGCCAAAGCCACACAGCTCTGCATGCAAAAACTTGGAGAGGAACCAAGTAGCTCTAGCCAAAAAGATGGCTCTGTCCCTGGATTCCAGCTGTAGCTGTGTCACCGGCCTTGGTGGGCACTTCCCTGTCCCCACCGTGGCCCGGCACAGGTCCTGACTCTGCTTGTCCCTAGGCGGAACTTCGGTCTCCGACTACAGGCAGGTGCTGGGGCCTCAGCACCTGTCCTACCACGTGGAGCGGCAGCCGGGCGAGCAGGAGATCAGGTTCTGCGCCGAGGGCCTCGCGTTTCCTGACGCCGACTTCTCGGGGCTGGTCTCGCTCAGCGTCAGCCTGGTGGACACAGTGGTAGGCCGGCATTGTGCAGGGCACGGAGGCTAAGGGCCGGGGGACCCTGTCCAGCTGGGTGGGCTGGGGTCCCCATGAGGCCACTGAGTCCCTCTCTCTCCCCAGTCCCTGCCAGAGGTGCCTCTCTTCACAGACACCGTGGCCTTGCGTGTGGCTCCCTGGATCATGACCCCTAACACCCAGCCACCCTTAGAGCTCTACGTGTGCAGGTGAGCCCTGTCCCCTTGCTGTCCCGTGTCACAGACTTGGAGAGGTGGCCCTGGGGTAGCTGCAGAGCAGAGCTGGGCCCAGAACAACAACAGGTGGCCCAGGGGCCCTGCCCTGAGCAGCTGAGGTCTGGCCAAGGTCACAGGGTCACATTCCACCATCTTGTCCCCCACCCCAGTCCTGTCGCAGAGCCCAAATCATCCCAGATTTGGTTTAAGCAGGGGACCAGGCCCTGCTCGGGCTGCTGGGGGCTGTGGGACGCTTGGCTCCCTCTGATGAGGCTGTATCTCTGCCCTCTGAGGACAGGGACCCAACCTCTGGGGTCCAACAGGGTCTCGGGCCTCAGAATCCTGCTCAGGCTCCTGATGGCAGGGTGGCCTCAGCATCACAGGTCAGACCCACAGAGAGGGCCAAAGCTGAGCAGGACAAAATGAAGGGTGCCGAAGGGCGTGGCCAACAGCCTGGCCCTGCCCACCTGGCCCAAGCGCTGGCCGAGGGAGCCTCCCACTCCTGTAGGCTGTCTGCCTGTACCTGACCCCTCTTCCTCTGACCTCCCCAGGAAGATGTAGCCCTGGGTCACCTCCACGGCCACCTCCTGACCACCTGTCCTTACTGCTCGCATTGGACACAGGTCACTGGTAGCCGGGACCTTTCCCGTCCTCTATCCTTTAGCCCATGAGCCTCTCTCAGGCCAGAGACTGTCCCTGAAGCTCAGAGTCACACCCCCTCTGTGTCTTTTACAGCGTCACAGATCAGCATGGCTCCAACCAGAAGTTTCTGGATGACATGGCTTACCTGGCCCTGAAAGCCAACTGCAAGCTGATCGTCTGCCCCCGGGCGGAGAATCGCAATGACCGCTGGATCCAGGTGGGTGCGAGCGACCCCGGAAAGGACCCCGTCCTGCAGCTGAGCTTGGGGGCTGGAACCCGGATGGGGCCCCATACCTCAGCCTCCCCAGAGGAGCCAGGAGAGCCTCTCCTGTGGGGTCCTGGGGCCTCACCTCCGTCCACCCCACCCCACCCAGGTCTTGGGGGGTCTGGTGCACTGCATGGGGTCACCTAGCTGTGAACCATCCTGCAGCTTTTTCTTCTTCCCCCCAGGACGAGCTGGAGTTCGGCTACATCGAGGCCCCGCACAAATCCTTCCCTGTGGTCTTCGACTCACCCCGGAACAGAGGCCTGAGGGATTTCCCCTATAAGAGAATCCTGGTGTGTGGTACAGGGCAGACATGGGGGGGACAGAAGGCCGCAGGATGTAAAGGGCCAGCCATGGGGAGTCAGTGGGGGTGTGGCAGAGGATGCAAATTAGATGCAGATTTATGCAAATAAGAAACTGTTCCACGGCCCCTCCCCTGTTCTGAGAGGGGCAGAACATAACAGATCAGGGGCTTATTCTCAGCAGGAAATAACAGAAGAGGTCACATTGCTTTTTGAGGGGGAATGGAACCTTAATGAGCCCTCACAGCTTTAAAGGGCTGCCATCTGTCTTCAGATAGCAAATGTTTTCTGAACACCTACTTTGTGGCAGGCACTATGCTGCCTCCTGTGCATAGGATTGCAGGAGCAGCAGCTGCCATCAGACACTGAGTTCCAGGCCCTGTCCCTTAGATTTCCCTGGGGCCTTCTGTGCCATCACGAATATGTATGGTTCTATTCTCTTTGTGGGTGGGGAAACTGAGGCTCAGGGATGTCGAGTAACTTGCCCAAGGCCATGCAGTGAGTCTGCAGTAGCCACAGTATACAAACCCAGCAGGTTCCTGCCACAGCCTCTGCGCTCACCACTAGGCCACGCTGCCTTTCAAGGTGGGCGCTGTCTCTGCCTATTTCTGGCCCCCATTCCCTCCCACTGGGATGGAGCTGGCCCCTGTGGGGCTCTGATCCCCTGACAAGGAAGTTCTGGAGTCCGTGGGTGCACAGAGCAGGGACATTCGCCCCTGATGGAGGGGCCAGGTGAACCTGTAGGGTGAGTTGTGCAGACAGACCAGGGCAGCATGGGCGGGGGGTGGGGACCAGGCTTGGCGGGCAGGTGCCGGGGGGTTTGTCACTGATTCCTGCTCTCACTGCTGCGCCCCATCTCCTCCTTTCTTTGTGTTTAGCTTGGTGCCCTTTCCCCAGCCTGAACCCTCACGTCCTTTCTCTTCCGGATGCTCATGTTGGGGCTCTGGTGTCACCCCGGCCCCTCTTCGGGCTCCCCTCCAGGTCCCTCTGCCTTTCCTGTGCTGTGTTTGTATTGTCCTTCCGGTCCGTAGGTGGCCTAACTGTTGCTTGGATTCCCTCTTTGGCCACGGGTTCTTCAGCCTTGTGCTGCTCAATTTGTGGACATCCGGGACCCTCTGGCTGCCTCTGGGGTTGGGGCTCTAAACTGCAAGGTGTCCCGAGAGCAGGGAGGTGTGGAGGAGGGGTTTTCCAGATGTGATGAGCCAGGGAGCAGAGTCCTCTTCTGGAGCCCCCGCCTGTCCTAACTGACCGCTCCTGCTTGGGCCGGGGTCTTGCTGGTCCCTCCCTAGGGTCCTGACTTTGGCTACGTAACCCGGGAGCCCCTCAACTCTGGCGCCTCCAGCTTAGATTCCTTCGGCAACCTGGACGTCAGCCCGCCTGTGACCGTGGGTGACACGGAGTATCCCCTGGGCCGGATCCTCATCGGCAGCAGCTTCCCCAAGTGAGAGGCCAGCGGGGAGGGGACGGGGGCACGTGGGATGATGGCAGTGCCCACCCTGAGGTCCCCTCATCACCCACTCACCTCCTCCACACATCTGAGAGGGGGTCTTCCTGCCTGTCCGCCTGATTTGAATCCTCCAATCAGCGACCTGGAGTCCTTGAATCTCGGATTTAAAAGATCACGGAATCTTAGGAGAAAACTAGTGCCCCTGGGGTTTTGGCCATCTAATTTTATGAGCTCAGTCACCCATGTTAAACATGCACATCGGGAGGTCCCAGCCAGATTCCAGCTTCTCTGTGACTTTGGCAAAGCTGCAGAGGTGACATACTAGGCACAAAGCAGCAGACGGGCCTGGTGGCATCTTCAGCCAGGAAGGCAGGGTAGCTGCTGTCCTAGCCACAGCTGGAAGGGCCCAGAGTTCACCAGGGCCCTGGACAGCTGACTGCAGGTGAGTGAGTAGCTGACCAAGATGCCAGGGTGACTCGGGGGTGTCCCATGGGGGGCACGGCACAGGGCATTTTGGGCTTGGTGCTCAGCAGGTGACGTCAGCTGTCGCACACCAGATGGGTCTACGTCCTGCGAAAGGTAAACCATGGGGAATGGTTCTCAGGATCCTGCTAAGGCCTGGGGGCTCCCTGTCCACTTGTCAGGGGCTGGCCTGGAGCCTGTGTGTGTCCCAAGCTGCACCGCCAGCCTGGCTGGCCTTGGATCCAGGGCCAGGAGACTCTGGTGTCCCCGCTTTGCCGGGCCTTGGTCTCGCCAGCTCTCAGCTCTTAGTGTGACTGCTCAGTCTTGGGTCCTTTTGCTCAGCCTGAGACAGAAGTCAGGAAAAGGAACAAGTCTTTATGGGCTGACGCTGGAGGACTGGAGGAGGGAGACTTCCGCAGGCTGAGAGCCTGGCTCGGGTGGGCCTCAAAGCCGTTCACACCATCCCAGAGCTTTGCACACCGCGGTTCTGACTTAATGAGCTACACCTGCGTGTTGGGTGTGTCTGTGCTCCCTTACAAAGATGGCAGAGGTGCTCGCCCAGCCACCCCAGGAAGGCCGTCGGGGGTCGAGCTCAGGCATAGGGAGTAAACCAGGGAACTGGGAAGCTTGGGGGCAGAGCCAGCAGCTCCCACATGGGCCACTGGCGGAGACGCTGCTCATCCCGTAGGAGAGCTTTGTGCGTGACGGTGGGGGAGCCGGAGGCTCAGAAAAGGAAGTTACTCGAATGCATTCGTATGCTTGCTTCCCAGCACGGTTCAAGGCGCTCCCGCCTGTGACGTGGCCTTGAGGGGCAATCAGCAGCCTGGTGCTCTGGATCAGGCCAGGAGAGGCTTCCCGAGTAACCAGGGTGCTGAACTGGGTGCCCAGGCCGGATGTCCACCTGCTCATAATTATGCTGGGGCTGGGCCCTGCCCACAGCCAGGGGCTGAAAGACCCTGGGGCCTCCAGAGAGCCTGTGACTTCAGTGAAGGATGTGTGAGAATGGAGCTCAGCCCTGTGAATCAGATGGACTGGATCCGAGTCCTGGCTCTGCTCCTTACCTGCCAAGGCATTTGAGTACTTGGTCACAGAGCCCAACACATAGTAGGTGCTTGATGAATTCATTTAAAAATATTTATCATATGCTAGGCACAGCTGAAAGTGCCTATGGCATTCCTAAGCAATGAAGGTACTTTTTAAATAAGAAAGGTATTTTAGATCCCATGCCTCAGTTTCCTCCTCCGTAAAGTGGGCCTAATAAAAAAATCATGATTATATGTGATCACTGTATAATCAGCACGGCAGAGGATAAAGGACTCATGAAGCTGCCTTTCCAGTGCCCATGGAATGCTGAGCTGGCCCCCGGCCATGGGAGCAGGTTGGAGCCCATGGGGCCAGTTTTATGGCTGTCTGCAGTGCGCCTCACACACTGGCATGTTACCTAACTCCCTCATTCAATCCGCCAGCCCGGCGGGTCGGGACTGCTCCTCGCCTCCTGTTACAGGTGACAGAGCTGAGGCTCAGACACCCGCGTCCACTCCCGTACTCACCTTCCAGTTCAATAAGCATTTACCGAGACTCCCTGTAAGCCAGGCCTGGGGCCCAGCCAGAGGTGCAGAGTTAGCCCAGGAACCTGTCCTGCGGTCTGTGGTGTGACAAGGGGGACAGGTTTGCCATTCCCCCACGGGAAATGCAGGGCTCAGTGGAAGGGAGCTCTGCAGGGGGACAGACTGACAGGTCAGCGCCAGGCATGGCCCTGCAGGTCCAGGCTGGGGGACGGTCGGCAGCCTGCAGACATTGCTGTGGACTCCAGAGCAGCAGGGACGGGCAGGAGGTCGGGAGGCCTCTCTGGACTTTGCAGGCAGTTTAGTGTCTGTGATCACACAGCATGTTAGTGGTACAGGCAGAACCCAACTCTCTCGCCCTTGTGGTCCCAAACTAAAATTTAGCACCTCAGGGTGCTCTCCTGAGACCTTTCTGTGGCTTTTAAAAATATTTTTTTGAGACAGAGTCTCATTGTGCAGTTCAGACTGGCCTTGAACTCACTTTGTAGCCCAGGCTGGCCTTGAACTTGTAGCAATCCTCCTGCCTCAGCCTCCTAAGTGCTGGAATTACAGGCGTGAGCCACCACTCCCAGCCTTTTTGGTAGCTTTTGAGCACAACAGTGAACAGAAACCTGCACACATTCAGGCAGGAGAGGCAGGCAAGTCACAAACACAACCAGCAAATAAGCTGCATCGTACATCTGATGAGCAAATGGAGTGTGGATGTATAAACCAGTGCATGCTGAGCCTCAGTGTTCTCATCTGGAGAATGGGGGTAACACTAGAACCTCGCAGGGCTGGGGTAAGAGGTAACTAGCACTGTGTGCCTTTGGCCTTTTGACATTTAACAAAGTCTGGCAGGAAGCAAAGGAGGTGAAGATGTGGCTGTCTGGAGAAGGTTCTGGAGGAATGGAAACTGTGTTTTCAGAGGACCTGAAGGAAGTGTGTGCCTGTGATGTTAGAGGAACAGCAAAGAGCCGGGTGGGGCTGGAGCCGAGTGTGCAGGGAGGGGCCCAGTGAGAACTGAGTTTCGAAGCTTGGCAGAGCACGCTTCATACGACCTGCGCCGATATTTGCACGTGTGTCCTAGGGCCACCAGAGGAGCCCATGAGAGATTTAATGAGACGGAAGTAAGGCGGGCACCTAGTAGGTGCTCAACAAACTCGAGGTCCTCTTTCTGTGGTTTAATTCTCCACCAGTAAGGCCTGCATTTTTTTTTTTTTTTTGTCTTTTTCGTTTTTATCGGTACCAGGGATCGAACTCACGACTGCCCGCTTGCAAGGCAGGCGCTTATGCCGCTGAGCTAAATCCCCAGGCCTGCATTTTTAGGTCGTTCTTCGATCGTTTCCGCCCCCTAGTGGCGGCTTTGGGTGTTACTCGGAGACCGGGTTGCCGCGTCCAGGCTGGGACGCATAAGGAGGCTCCTCTGCCCCCCCCCCACCTCTCAGCCCCACCCCCACTCCACATCGGAGGCCCTTCGCCGGACCTCGCGCTCTGGCTCCTGCTGCAGGCTTCCCATGAACACACGTGAAGCCCAATTCTTCCCCTCACCATCTCACTGCTTTCAAAGCAACCCGTTAGCTGGGCCCATGGCACATGCACCTGATGCATGGGAGGCTGAGGCTGGGATATCGCTGTGAGTTCAAGGCCAGCCTGGACTGCGTAGCCAAATCTGATCTTAAAAATCTTTTGAAGTTTTATTTCGTGGTAAAACAACAAAATACAAGAAACTTCCCCCACAAGTCCCATCTTAAAGATTTAAATCAAGGCCTTCAGCTGTCACACACAAAATTTTTGTAGACCATGCCCTGTTTGGACCTCAGGCGTCCAAAGCACCTTTACCACACGTCACAGCTCTGAAGCGTGTATCAACCATGAGGTGCTGGGGAGAAAGCTGGAAAGCCCTGACCTCGGGGGCTCGCTGTCTCTGGGGTAACAAAATGTCAGGCTGCCAGGCGTCACCCAGGGCTGCAGAGAAAAATAAAGCCAGGCAGGAGCCGTGAAGCCTGAGCTTTCACAGCTCAGACAGAAAGTGAATTTGAGTTGAATCTGAAGGAAGAAGGGTGGACATCTCGGACCGTGGAGAGTGGACAGCTGGCCAGGGAAGGCTGCTGCTGTCCCTTAGTGCGGGTGGAGCCACCACAGTGGATGCAAATCTGGGAGCTGGTCCATCTGTTCTTAGACAGACAAGGGAGGTCAAGAAGCCTGGTGGATTGAGAGATGGGAATTAGAGTGTGTGTTCGTGTCTGTGTGCCTGGCGGGGAAAAGGTGGGAAGTGTCCAGAGTCTTAAGGCACCCGGACTTTGACACCCACCTCCTTTAACGGTTCAGCCTCAGCTGCCTGATCTGTGAAATGGGGACACTGAGGGTCCTCCCTGTTTAAAAATGTTGCCCCCTGTCCTGTGGGTGCCCGTGCCTAGGACCTGTGTCCCATTCTGCTGCCTTTGCTCTAAGTACCCTCTCCCATCTGACCATATCAGCACCCCACAAAGGGAAGAATGAATATGCCCAAACCTGGTTTCCTGGGGACTGGATAGTGCAAATACAAGCACCCCGCACAGGCGCTCAAACTTTGCAATGTGGGAGAATCAGACAGCCATCCAAATGCAGATTCCCGGGCGCATCCCCAAGCCCATGAGGTAGAACGGTGCCAGCGCCCATGAATCTCACTGAAGCCCTCCCGCTGAATCTGACTCTGTGCTCAAGCAGGGGATCCTCAGGTCTTGGTCCTATTTTGAGCCAAAGCTGTGTGTCCCTTGAGAAGGAGGCTGAACTCTTCTCTGGCTCTGCCTGGCAGGTGGAGCTGGGTCCTGCCTGGCCTGTGACTCCTTCCAGTGGGGTGTGTGGAGGGGCAGGGAGCGACAGGAAGACCAGCTTCCACATCTGCAGAGCCCACCTGCTGCCAGGCGGTGCTGGGCAGGCGGTGGAGGGCATGGCCGGGGGTGGGGCACACTTCCTGACTTCCCAGCCTCCAGCCCCAGCTCTGGTTTAAGACGGGCGGTTTGACCCTGGCGTTTCCAAGCTGTGTGACCCATGCTCGATCATGTTGGCTCTCTGGGCCTCAGTTTCCACATCTGGGAAAGAGAACTCGCTCTTGCCGTGCGGCTTGGGGTTGGGGTTCACACGCCGGCACAGGAGGGGCACCAGGCGGCCCTGTCTCCACAGGTCCAGGGGCCGGCAGATGGCCAAGGTGGTGCGAGACTTCCTGGCAGCGCAGAAGGTGCAGGCGCCCTTGGAGCTCTACTCGGACTGGCTGGCCGTGGGCCACGTGGACGAGTTCCTGAGCTTCGTGCCCACCTCCGACCCCAAGGTGTGTCTCCCGCCGTCCCCTCCCCCTTCCATGGTGTCCACCTGAGCTCCTTCTGCCCTTGCGGGGCCTGATGGTGCCACCTGGATCCGGCTCCACCTGAGTCCAGGGGGCTGGACCCGGGCTGTGTCAATCAGGGGTGCTTCCTGGAGGACCCCTGAGTATGTACTCAGACCCAAACTCCTCTATCGAGAGTCAGGAGCAACACTGATAATAAAAGGTATATTTATTGAGCACCTACTATGTGCCTGCCATGTGCCTCATGTGTGCAGTGTCCCACCAAGCCCAAGGGGTGGTGCTGGTCTTACTGGCCCCCTTTTACAGATAAGGAAACTGAAGCCCAGAGGGGCCATTAACACGCAAGCTCACATGCCTACAGGAGGCAGGGTAGGATTCACATCCAGATGGGGGGGGGTCTGTACTAACCACTGGACTCCACTACCTCATAGAGAGCACCGGGGAGGACATGGCCCTCAGGTAGCAAACAGGCTGGTGGTTCCAGGCCAGTGAGGTAGAGCTTAGATGGGCAGGGACAGGATGCAGCTGGCGCCCATGCCAAGCTCTGCTTGTGTCCATGAAGGGGACTCCTGCACTGGGGCTTGAAGGCAGAAATAGGAGTTCTCTTATGGGCAAAGTGAGAAGGGCGTCAGGTGGGTTGGGGGCGTTGTACGCAGTCTTGTAGCTGGCGGTGGCATCAAGAGGCAGAAAGGAGCCCCATGCATAGTCTAGCTCCTGCGCTGAGGCCCTGCCCGGGCTCCGGTCTCGTGCACCAGGCAGCCTGCACTGAGCTGTCCCCCCACTCTGTGCCAGGGCTTCCGGATGCTCCTGGCCAGCCCCAGTGCCTGCCTTAAGCTGTTCCAGGAAAAGAAAGAGCAGGGCTACGGGGACGCGGCCCAGTTTGCTGGTAAGTGCCATGGCCTGGTCCCCCCAACACCCTGGGGAACCCTTACCCTTTCATCTCCAGCCCAGGCGCTGGCGCGATGCCCTCTGAGGCTCTGCCCAGGCTGCTTTGAAGCCTGACTGGTGCCCTCTGGTGCCTGGGGCTTGGGATGAGAGCTCGGCTCAGGGACGGGAAGCTGAGTCCCGGGTCCTCGGATAGGCAGGGTGCTTCCTGTCCATGCCCCAGAAGAGGATGTGGCCTTCCCCGTGGCTAGGACTGGTCTGAGCAGCTCCTGGATGCGGGCTTGACCGCAGGGAGTTCTGGGCCTCTCCTGCCTCAGTTTCCTCTTCTCATGAGTAGAGGGGATAATTAGCTGTTCCTCAAACTGTTTTAAAGATTAACGATCACTTCAGTAGGTTTCCCGGAGCACTGTGGGTGTTTAGTAATGGTAGCCACGCTGTAGTTATTAGGCCCCAAGTCCCGGAGTCCCTTCCAGGGTCAGTGACCTGACACTGGGCCGTGCCTGCAGCCTCTGGCTTTTGCCATGCGGGCTTCTGACTGGGTTATGGGAGAGGTGGCCTTGGGTGGGGTGTTTCCTGGGCCCTGCACTCTCTTCCTCGAGCAGGGTTAAGATACAAGGCAAAGAGAAGCATTAACGAGTTGCTGGCGGACAGGCGCCTCAGGAGCGACAGCCTCTACGTCCAGGTGAGGGACGTGCAGCCGGGGCACTGCCCAGGGGTGGATACTGGCCTGAGCCTGTGCTTGTCCTAGAGCTGCTGGGAGGCTGAGGCATGAGGGGCTCCCTCCCAGTCCTGCTGGGTGGAGGGAGGCGACCTATTCCCATGACAGCAGATGCGGTTCTCTGCAAGTGGGGTGAATGAGATGTGGGGTCTGGTGGGCAGCGGGGCAGGGAACCAGGACCCCAGGCTTCTGGCAGGGGGTCCCCACCCCTACAATACCTGCCACATGCCTGCCACAGGGAGCAGCCGCCGGTGGCCCCTTCCACTGGCTGCTACCTCCTCTGAGTGCTCAGATGGACAGCAGCACCCACGCTGTGGCTGGGACTGGGACGCTGTGTCCAAGTGACCAGGACTTAGAACCGGAAACTGCTCGGATCCAGCCCTTCTGAGCTCTGTGCCTTGTTCCTCATCCCTGAGGCTGCCCATGCCTCAGTTTCCCCGTCTTGGGACCACAGTGGCCTCTATCTCGCAGAGCCGTGCGAGCGACAGGCGCTGGGGTCCCCTTAGGTCCCGCTACTCCAGGGCTGCCTGCACTTTCCTCCCCAGAAATGCATCGACTGGAACCGAGAGGTCCTGAAGCGGGAGCTGGGCCTGGCGGAGGCCGACATAATCGACATCCCACAGCTCTTCTCCCTGAAGAGCGACTATGCCGAGGCCTTCTTCCCCGACATGGTGAGCAGGGCCCAGCTCAGGCCCCACCGAGTCGGAGGCAAAGCAGCCGTGTCCCGGGCCGTAGGACCTGTCGGTGGTGCAGGTGTGGACAGCTTTGTCTGTGTCCCCAGCTGGGGTGACCTCCTGCCCCGGGACACCTTTGAGCGTGCAGTGAGGGGTGCCATGGGGACCTGGTGGGTAAGACCCAGACGTCCATCCTGAAGGGCACAGGACTGTCCCCATCACAAAGGGCTTTGCCTAAGCCCTGCACCAAATGCGGAAAAAAAGAAAACAGGGTTTGATTCCAAGTGTTTCCAGCCTCTGTTTCGGCAGCAGGAGCCCCGAGGGTGACATTAGGCTCCCTGTGCTGGGCAGGCAGGGCGGTGGTGGCCCTGCTGACTCTCATTATTGAGGCAGCCGATGGGCAGATGAGCAGGGGTGACCTCACCTGGGTGGCACCCGGGAGGAGCCAGAACGATCCTATTGGTGCAGTCTGATTTGGGTGCCTGGTGCTCTCAAGAGGGCCACTGAGCCATCCTTGTGCTGTCAGATGCTGAGTGCCAGCTCAGGCCTGTGCCCCATGGACGCCAGTCAGCACTCCCCTAGAAGGCTTTTTGATCTTTTCAGTTTTTGGAAACAGGGTCTTGCTGTGTGGTTTTGACTGGCCTTGAACCCATGGCCCAGCCTCCCACCCTGTCACTCTGAGGAATTGTCACAATCCCTGTCCAGGGGACTGTCCTTCCCCAGGATGAGGACCCAAGCCATGGAGGAAAGCAGAGGTGCTACCACCACCACTAAACTCAGAGTCCCCAAGGACTCCCAGCCCCCAATTCTTCAGCCCCACAGGTGGCCCTGCTCTGGTCAGGGGTCAAGAGCACGGACCTCGGCCTGAGTCAGAGCCAAGTTCAAGTACTAGTTTCACTGCTGTCTGGCTGTGCGGTCACGATCATGTTACTTAACCGCCTGAGCCACGGCTCAGGGGGAGGCCGTGAGCCTTAGTGACAGCTGACACATAGAAGATGCTCAATATTTTATGGCAGCATGATCAGGGCTGCCCAAGACGGCTAGGCAGGCTGGGCACTGCAAGCTCACCCCTGCCCCATCCACCCCACACTAGCTCTGGGTATTTGTTGTACAAGACTGGCGGATGCAGTAAAAACTCTTGTTACACATGATAATTTGCTGAGAGATGGAAGCAAGTTGGAAGAGGGGTGACTTGGGTTGGTAAAACTATTACTAATTCTGCCTTCCTCCAGGCCTCCTCCTCCTCCTCCTCTGCTTTCACAGGCCTTGCTCTTGAGTGGTCACGGTCCTGGGGCCGGGGTGCTGGCCAGGGTGATGGGCCCCCGGGACAGGGTTGCCGTAGCCAGCCCAGCCTTCTCTCGCCACGTCTTCTGCAGGTGAACATGGTGGTGCTGGGCAAGTACCTGGGCATCCCCAAGCCCTACGGGCCAGTCATCAATGGCCGCTGCTGCCTGGAGGAGCAGGTGCGCGCCCTGCTCGAGCCGCTGGGCCTCCACTGCATCTTCATCGACGACTACCTGTCCTACCACCGGCTGGAGGGCGAGATTCACTGCGGCACCAACGTGCGCCGGAAGCCCTTTGCCTTCAAGTGGTGGCACATGGTGCCCTGAGCTGCTCCCACGTGCCGCCCCGTCTGCCCCCCTGCTGGGGAACCCTGCCCAGGCAAGGGTGAGGACACACACCGGCCTCCCTCTTTTGGGGGTCCTTGGGACATCCCCTGCCGTGCCTGCAAGTGTGCTGGCCACTGTGGGCACTGGGCTGCAGGAGTGGACGCCACCTTGCCTGGCCCGAAGAGGACTGACCCCATCTTTTTCCTCCCCTTCCCCAGCCATGGCCCCCAGAGGCCCAAGGCCTGTAGCCTTCATGTGTCCAGCTGGCCACAAGGGGCTCCCCTCTTTCTGGATGCCTCCTGTGGCTTTGGGTCTGCACCAGCAGTGGGTGCTGACCCCCACAGGAAGAGGGATCAGGGCACCTTCCTTCCAGAGGGGACGTAGGCTGTGAAACCACAGTGCCCTTCAGCTGTAGAAAACAAACAGGACAGGAAATCCTGGTGTCCAAGGAGGCGACGAAACCCCTTTAATACCTGCCTTAGCCCTTGCAGGGTGCTTGTTACTTGTCTGGAAGCCTTTAATTAAGCAGAGCTGGCTGCTTCCGGCCTAAAATGCTGAGCAACAGAGAGGGATTTGGGGAAGCTGAGTAAGGAGGCCTGGGCAGGAGAGGATGAGGCCAGAGTGGCTGGGCAGTGTCCTCCGGGCCTGGAAGCTTCTGCACCCTGGGACCGCCAGGGCTCTGAATCTATAGGCAGCTGGCTGTTCCAGATGTGGTGGGGGTGGGGCCAGGTGTGAGAAGAGGGTGGGGGACCATTAGGTTATCTCCGAAGGTGGGGCTTAATTTCCTTTAATAGTCTGTCATTATCCCCTTCCTTCTGCGGGCAGGGGGAGGGGAAGGCTGGTCCACGATCCCTCAGCGGCCTGCCCCCTCCGTCACATACATGCACACATGCACACATGCACAGCTTTGCCTGTGAGCAACCCCTGTGGCAGGCCAGGTCCCTCCCACAGCAGGACAGACAGCTGCTCGTCAGTTTAATGGCCCTATTAGGCCACAGAGGCGTGTGCAGGCAGGCCGAGCGGCTGCAGCTGCCTGGGCAGGAGCGAGCGGCCTGCGTCCTCTCCACCAGCTGGGGAGCTGTGGCCACTGTCAGTCCTCTTTCCTCTGGCCATCTGTATTTGTGGTGGCCTCTGGTGAGTCCTCAGACCGAAGCAGCTATGTCACTCTTTTAGGCTTGGAATTAAAGAGTCAGGAGGGGTGACAAGGGTGGGGGAGAACCTGGATCCTCCCTTCTGGAAGGTTCCCAGGCCCTTGGAAAGCTCTTTGTCTGACCCTGGCACTTTTGTCTTAGGATCAGGACCCAGCTGAGGCTGAGGATGTGGGGTCGGGATTGGAAGCCCCTAGGGAAAGGGCCCCTGGTGGGAGGGGAGCAGGCGTGCAGAGAGAGAGGGAGTTTGGAGGCTGTGGAGTTGCTGCTGGGGCCACTGGGTCCTGGAGTCCTGCTGAGACTGTTCTGGTGGCCAGTCACCTATTTCTGATCAATAAAAATGTCAGCATGCATTTCCTTTGCTTGTGTGCTGGGCTGGTGGGGGGGGGACACAGGGCGGGGCTCTGCCCACTCCCCCACCCCGGGCTCAGTTCCTGCCAGGCCCATCCAGCCGGGGAGCCCCCGTGTGCCCCTGCAAGGTAATCGAGGAGTGCCGGGTGGGCCGCTGAGTCAGCGGAGCCCTGGCTCAGCACATGCCCGGTGCCCGGGGGCCGACTGCCCAGCTGAGATGGGTATCGGGGAGGGATGTGTCCTGCCACTTCCTCTCTCGCTCTCCCCTGGGCTGCCCTGGGGATCGGGAGGGAGGAGGGGAGGAGGGCTGGACTCAGCAGGGATGGTGGCAGGGCACAGGCCCCCAGGTTCCACTCAACCGCGGAGCCTTCAAGGACCTGATTGCAGGGGCCTGAAAACATGGCCCCTCATTTCCATTCACTGCTGCTTCAGAGGACACCCTTGGACACCCGGTCCTTGGTTAATTTTATCCCAGCTTTTGCCGTGGACTGAGAGGCAAGAAGTCACTGTCCATCAGCCACTGGCACTTTAGTCTAAACAAACCATGGACCTGTTTCTAAACGCCAGTACTAACGGGGGAAATAAAGGCACAGTTCTACTTGCAAAAGCAGATACAGAGTCTGAGCAGGAGGCTGGCAGCTGGGAAAACCTCCACCTTCCCTACCTGCTCCCCAAATCTGCTCCGAGCCGGGGAGACTGAGGACTTCTTCCTGAGCACTACCTCCTATCTGAGGCTGAGCTGGCCACCAGGCTGTTTTACAGCTGAAATAAAAGAAGCTGCTCTAGACCTAGAGTGCCTTCCCCGCTCCTTGAAAAGAACATTCTTCCCATGGGGAGCGCTGTCCCATTGGAGCCCTGTCTCAGGGTCCTGCTGAGATCCAGGGCAGTGCAAATGCCCAGCTGAGGACTCGGGGGAGCAGATCCTTGTCCCTGGCTGCCGGATGACCAGCACCACCAGGGAGAAGGGAGGAAACCTCTGTCCCCATCTCCCAGCCTCTGCCAGGCATGGCGCGTCCTCCCATTATCTCTGCCAGGGCTGGGGGCGAGTGACATTTTCCATAGATGAGGAAACTGAGGCCCTGAGAGAGACACAGCTCCCCTCCCCTCCAGTGCCACCTCACCACTGCCTGGTAGAGCCTGGCTCAACTCAAGACTCCTCTTCCCAGACCCTTGCTCCTGCTGTTCTAGGAGCCTGGATGCCTCTTCTTGCCTCGGTTTCCCCACAATACAAGTGAACTTTCTAGGGTGATGTTCTGAGCTCCTTTGGCTGCAGATGATTTCCATCTCATTATTTCTGAAGTTTCTGGCACCTAATAATAACAATAACAAAGGCTACCGGACGAGGCCAAGTTCCGTGCTAGAAATCAGCCAACACTAGCCCATCTTAGCCTCACAGCAGCCATTTCTCAGATGGGAGCACTGAGGCCCAGAGCAATGAAGTGACCCAGAACAGGAAGAGGCTAGGAGGGGCAGGCATCTGCCTTAAAGCCCTTGCTCTAAAGCAAAAGACTGTTTCTCAAGGGTGTTAGAACGCTCTAGAGTCCTTGTTCAGATCCAGATGCCAGCAGCCCCTCTAACCACTGTGTCAGGTAGGAGCGGGCCCAGGAATCTGCATTCCCACCAACTCCCATGAAACCCTATTGCTTCAGAAAATGCAGGAAAAGAGGAAGAGGGGGTGAGGAAGGGCCGACATCAATTCCACACATCTCTACCCTCCTCCCCTGCCCCCCACAACCCCCAGGGCCCTGGGCGGGTACCTGTGGGGACTTGCTCCCCTTAGAGCAAGAAATTAACTCCCAGGTGCCAGAGTGGGAGCCACAGGTTTGTATGCAAATATTGGGTCCCTTCCAGCCAATCCTGAGCTCTTGACCCTGGGAAGGGGCTGGGCTTTCATGCATGGAGCCAATAAGCTTGCATCCTGTGTTGGAAGGGCGGGGCCAGAGACTTTTAAACTAAATCTCAAGGGACCTCTGGGACAGCATTGGGTTTGCTGGCCCTAACCCAGTCCAAGGCCAGGATGTCGCTGCAAAGGATTGTGCGTGTGTCCCTGGAGCATCCCACCAGTGCTGTGTGTGTGGCTGGCGTGGAGACCGTCGTGGACATATATGGGTAAGAGCCAGAGATCCTGGCTGGTTATGACGCCCGCTGGTTTTTCTTGGTGGGAGCCACGCAGTGTCCCTGGGCTTGAGCCTGGCCCGTTGTACACTCCTTAGACTTTGCTTGGGCACAGGGACTTTCAGGTCTTGGCCTTGGCTAGCTGCATTTCTAGCAGGGCACATAAACCGGGGGAGGCTGAGCGTGTAAATAGCTTGTAGTGGGTGAACTCTCCCCCAGGGTGTTGTCTCTGGGCTCGGGACAGTGTCTCCATCCAGAGATGCTGCAGGCTGCATAAGAGACGCACAAGAACAGAGGGAGGTGGACACGAGCCCCGGCCAGCCTGTGAGCCTGACGACAGCGTAAATGGGTTTTAAAGATCGCATCTACTTCTATAACTCTTGCCAGGCGCCCAGCGCTGCTCTCAGAGTTGGCAGCCCCTGGCATTTAACCCCTGAACACAAATGCTGGACTCTCACCCTGATGACAGCTCTTGGCCTGCGCTCAGTCTGGGCAAGGTGGGGCGCAGAGACCGAAGTCATTTACTTGAGTCTCACAGTTAAAGCGTCAAAGCCAGGACTTGAACCCACTCATAATCCGACTTAGAACTTGGTTCTCAGAACCTGTGCTCAGCCCTCCAGAAGGAGGGATTCAGATCCAGCGCTCAGCGCCCTGTGCTCTGCCCCGCTGGGCGCCAGGCTATGCCTTCCCGGGCTGTGGGCCTGGGAGCTGAGCTACACTCCGCCTCCTAGAAGGCAAAGGAGAGTTTGGGACCATGCTTACGGTGGTTCTGGAAGCCACCTATGAGCTGGCTTCTCAGGCTTTTGAGGGATCCCAGTCTGAGACTGTACTGGACACAGGTGACCAGGATGCCAGGAGGGGGAGAGTACAGGCCCATAAATGTGGCCAGTTCTCAACCTCCAGGCCTGAACTGAACCAGGTTCTCAACCTCAGCACTGTGGGGGTGACCAGGCAGTGTAGGGGGCTGAGCAGCATTTATTGGCCTTCATTAACCCCTCCCTCCTTGTGACATCCATAAACGGGATACTTCCAAGTACATCCTGAGGGTGAAATCCCCCTTTGAGAGCAGGTATCCCAGACTAAGACCTAAACATTGGGGTGAGCTTGGTCGGAAGCAGGATGGTCCCGTGGCACTGGATGAGAGGGGTGAGGAGCTGATAGAGGGAAGGAACCAAGTCTAGAGCAGGTCCAGCCCAGTGAGGTGCCAGGACCAAAAGCCTGGTTGAGGCGGGTGGGCCTGGGTGTGGGAAGGGGACTCGGCAGCTCTGAAGGAGTGGTCAGCAGGGGAGAGGAGGGACGAGAGGACCTGCTGCCTGGCGCCACTGCCCGCTGCGGGGCTGTGTGCTGTGGGGGTGATTCAGTGTCCCAGCTGCTCCATGGCCCCGGGCAGATGTGTCTCCAGTCTGACCTGTCCCGGGAAGGCAGGGGCCTCTCCTCCCCCGCAGAGCTTCCTTGGAAGGTAGAGGGCAAGTTGGGACAATGGTGGGGTAGCCCAAGCGGCAGGCACAGAGGATGCTGGGAGCGGGTGACCGTGAGGCAGGGGCTGGGGCTCCGGCAGCTTCAAACGAGGGCACCCAGTGTGGTGGAGCCCCTGGCTCACCCATTCTTCATCTGTGGCTTTGGGGGCCAGGTAAGGGGGATCCACAGAGGTTCGCAGGCAGGCACTGTCCCTGCCCCCGAGAGCTCTAGCTGAGCCCCAGTCCCCTTCTCTCTGGGGCTTTGGGAGGACCCCTGTCCTGGGAGGGGAGCACGCCTGGACTAATGCTGAGGTCCCTTCTGGCCTGGAGAAGCCTGATGTGCCAGTCCTGTGTGCCAGCTGGAGAAAGGGCACCAGGTGTGGTGGCTCGTCCTGGCTCTGGGGCTGTGCAGCTCTCTGACCTTTGGACAAATCCTGTATCCCACCCGGGTCTCTGATTTTTCATCTTGGGGTACAGCTGATGTTAAAATCAGCAATAGACTTAGCACCTGCCCCCCAGAACTCACCGTCCTATGCACCTCACATGTTAATGGAGTCCCACAGCCATCTCTGGCGAAGAAACGAAGGTTACAGACAGGTTAAGGGACCTGCCTGAAGTCACACAGCCAGTGAGTGTAGAGCCAGGTTGTGACTTGAACAGCGCAGCCAAGGGCTGTTGAGAGGGTTGGTGGGATCATGCGTGTGCAGTGCACAGCTCTCGCCCTGTTTGTGGCCAACACCTAATCACAGCCACTGTGACCATTTTTACCCTTGTCATCATCATTTTAAGGCTCAGTCCTGAACCTGTAGACAGCCTCGAGTGTCCCCAAGCCTACCAGGCACCAGCTGTCTGGGGAGCGGCCTCTGAGCCATAGCTGGGGAAGGAGTCGTGGGGAAGACTGGAAAGAATATGGGCGGAGCAGTCAGGGAAGGCTTCCTGGAAGAGGGGCCCGGCCGGAGCCTTGAAAAGTGAGCACGAGCGACAGTATTGGGCTCGGTGGTTTGCACCGCTGTCCTGCCTTTCTGTGATTTGGAGCTGGCCACTGAGTTCCTGGGCAGTGAGTCACAGGGTGAGAAAGGGAAGACATTGCGGAACACGGTGCCTGCGCCACGCACTGAGCTGTAGTGTCTCCTTTGCTCCTCACGGGGCCTGGAGGTTGGTACCAGAGCCTGCACTGGACAGATGCAAGAAGGAGCTCAAGGAACAGTAGCCAAAGATGTCCTCTTCTGCAGGGCCCAGCTGGGCTGCAGACCCTGAGGCTGGGCTGCTGCCTCCTCTCCGTGTGGAGCCCTCCATGCTGAACATTGGTGTTGAGATGCAAATCTTGGGGCAGTGGGAAAGCTGGCTTGGTTCTTACTTGGCAAGGACAAAGTCCCCGGATGACCCATCCCTGAGTTCCATAACACGGGAAGGGTTTCCCAGGGCTGTGTGGAGGTAGTTGTGAACCCTTTCTGAGGCTGTCACCTGATGGGCTTAGACAGCAGTCCCCAGACTGGCTCAACAGACGTCTGAGGGCTCGTCCATCTCTCCATTTCCTGGATGGAGAGACTGAGGCTCCGAGTGTAAAGTGACTTCCCCAGGGCCACAAAACCAGTTAGAGACAGAGCTGAGTCTCGAAACAAGGTCCGCCAATTCAAAGAGGGATCCAAGTGGCTGATGTATGGAGATGGCATGCATGGGGGTGCTGGTGGGGCTGCACGACCTCTGTGTTGGCTGACTTGGCTTTAAGGGCTCAGAGCTCTCCATGGGGCCACGTGTACCCCACCTTCAAGAGACACTTCAAGTGTGAGATCCGACCGGCTTGGCTGCAGCGGGGCTGCAGTCTGAGTCCTTTCCTGAAGGCAGGCCAGTCGCCAGCCAGGGGCAGCCACCTTGACCTTGAGGACACACAGCTCATTCACCTTGACCACAGGAAGCGGCATTTGGAAACTCCAGAAGGCAGAGTTCACCCTTAAGGTACATGGGAGGCTTCCTGGGCTCCTTTAACAAAGATTCCTCTTCCGTTAGCAAATGACCCCTAAGGGCTGTACCTGGCCATGAGTGGCCAACCTCCTCTCTCCGCCAGCAGAAGTTCTGCACCCTAGCTCACATCTGAGTCACCTGGGGACCTTAAAATAGTGTCGCTGAGCTGGGCGGGGGTGTCCAGCACTGTGGCATCTCCAGGGCCCCCTAGGGATAAAAGGAGGCCCAGAGCTGAGGACGCTGCACTGCTAAGGAGAGACAAATGCTCTTGCCACCCAGAATGCGCCTGATGGAGCCAGGAGCCCTGAATTTGAACCCCAGTTCTGTCACCAAGGCTGCATCATATCGAGCAACTTCCTGCTCCTTTGGGCCTCAGTTTCCCAGTTGGTGCTCTGAAGAGCTCAGCTTAGAACAGTGGGTTTTGTACTCTGCTTGTGGAGGCCTCAGAGGCCCCTCCTGGGGGTGGCAAAGCAGCTCCCTTCTGTCCACTCTGGATGTTTCGCTTGATGCAGAGCTCAGATCTGTGCTGCAGGGAGCTGGCTGGTGCAGCTTCGACCCTAGGAAGTGTACTGGCTCTGGAGAAAGGTTTGTGGGGCTGCCGCTTTCCTGGGGCTCCTGGGGAGTAAGATTGGAAGGGGCCAAGGTTTCCTGAACCTGGTGAGGGGCTGACAGAGTCGGGGGTCTGAGTACCTTGCTGATGGGGAGGGGCAGCTATCCGGGGTGTCTGGGCCTTGGTCTTCTCCACCTCATGGGCCAGCCCAGAGGGGTCCTCATTGATCCCCAGTGCATCTTATTTCCAGCCCCTGAATTGCTTGGTTTTGTTTCGGAAGTCGGGCCTCTGAGCCCACTGACGGAGGGGATGTTCTGGGGCTTGCGCAGGAGTGGAAACAGAGTTCTTGTGAGGCCTGGCTCTGTCACCTGTCAGTTGTGTGACTTTGGGCAGGTCACCTGCCATCTCTGAACCTCATCTGCAAAGTGGGGATGACAGTGTATGTGTCTTACGGCTGCGGGAGCCACACGCACCATCATTGTCCCTGAACTCATGCTCAGCAATGAAGGGGGGACACAAAGACACAAGGGGGGTGTAGGCTCCCTCACATTGAGGGGTCCTTATATCCCCAGGGACCTCCAGCCTTTCTGAGGCAGCCCTGCCTTAGCCGCGGGCCTTGGACATCAGAGCAGTTGGAGTGTAGACCCCGGCGTACCTGCAGCCCTGCTGCTCCTGGGGTCCTGCATTTGCGGTAGGGTGGCTCTGAGATCAGTCTCTTTGGGGGCACCTGATTTTAATACTGAGTGTTCTGTACCCCTGGAAATAAACATGAGCATTGGACTAGGAGTCTGAAGCCCTAGCTCCTGGCCACCTCTCTGCTGGGTCTCAGTTTCCCTAGCAGTACAGAGAGGGCTGACTTTGACTTATTCCTCATGTTTGGGGGACATCTACTCCTCCTGTCTCTTGTCACCCCACCAGATAGATGTAGCCACTGAGGCAGGGACAGGCGGAGTCACCCCTTCAGATCTTACATCTGTGAGCCGTAGGGCTGGGGTTTGAACCCAGGCAGCCTGGCCCTGGGCTCCACAGGCTTCCCCACTTCGTCTCAGCTCCACTGTGACATCCCTCCTGATCAAGAACCATCGCTGGCTCCCCATTACCCAGGGAAGAAATGCAAACAGCCCTGTGGTAGCCTGAGTCTACACTTGAGCTCCTGAGGCTCCAGGGGAAAATCTCGTCCCCTCAGACCCGTGTCCCCCGGGATGCCACCTCAGACACAGGCTCATTGGCCACGGCCTCCCCACACCTGTTCCCTGCACCTTAATTTACTTTAATAATGCCCTCCCTGCCCTGGGTGGCCTGGGTGGTTCCAGGCCTTTCCTCTCTATCACCCGACTTGAGCCTCGTGACTGTCGGTGAGGCCTGACATGGGTGTCATTAGTACTTTATAGGGGCCCAGAGAGCCCAAGTGACTCAGTCAAGCTTGTCTGGCTGATTGTGACCCCTGATTGTGACCGTGGCCCTGCTGGCCTGGGGCTGCTGTGCCCCCCCCCATCCCTGCTCCAGCTCTCCGTAAGGTCTCATGGGAGTCGCTGCCCCGGGGCCCTCCTGGCCAGAGCTGCTCCCGGCTTCCTGGGGATCCTCAGCATCTCCCAGGGGTGGCCAGGGGGCCAGGCTGAAGTGGTGAAGTGGCCCAGGCCAGGGCTGGGGACCAGGGACTGAGTTTTCATACCAGAAGGGCCATCAAGGGCAGCCTGAGGGACAGTGTGGGGCCGGGGACTTCCGTGAAACCTCACTGGCTGCCCCGGTGCTACAGCTCAGCTTCCGGGGGTGCGGGGCTCGAGGGGCCCTTCCTGCAGCGTCTGTCTCCATGTCTCTTTCTGTTCCATCTCTAACTCTATCATCTCTCTGTGTCTGTGTCTGGGGACTCCGTGTCTCCTGACAGGGACCAGCCCACACCTAGGGCAGTCCTGGAAATTCCAGGCTTTGAGAGCAGTGAGGTGGGGTAAAATCCAGAATGTTTAGTTAAATTTCAATCCCAAATCATTACTTTTCAATACCTGAAATTCAAGCCCTGCTGGTCAGTGTGCATTTTGATTTGCTGACTCTGGCAGTTTGGAAGGAGAAACAGGCCCATGGCCGCCGACCTGGGGAGGGAGCCCGGCAGGGCCTGCACACTGTTGGGTTTGGTGGATTCCTCTTTCCGCAAAAAGTCACTTTGAGAAATGTCACAAACCCACCAGGAGAGCAAAGAGGGCGTCTTGGGGCTCTGTCTGCCTACATGGGGACAGGACCCGCTGCGGGACAGCTGGGTGAGCTTGCATGACTCACTCGCCATCCTGAGACTCAGTTTCCCCAGGGGTGAGTGGCAGTCTAGCCCCTCGTCCTGACGCTGCCGTGAGGACTGTAGGAGTGGAGCACAGATGGGCCGAGAGGGGCTGGCATGGCGAGTGTGCAGGGGAGGGGACGGGGCTGTCATTCTCCAGGGCAGAGGTGAGCAAGAGCCTTAAGGCCTGCCACTTCCCAGTGATGTGAGCCGGGGCAGGATATTTACCCTCAGTTTCTCCACCTGAGAAATGGACACAATACTTGAGCCTCTTTCCCAAGATGACAGCGAGAATTTCATAGCATAAAGAACTTAAGGAAACTCAAACGGGGGACTCACTCAGGAAGCCTCCTCGGCCCCTACAGCTCACAGCTCCTCACCCTGTATGGTTTCCCATGGAGCCACAAGCCTGGTCCAGAACGGCATCTGGCTGTGCGGGGCAGACTGGCCCTCCACTCCCTGCAGGATCGGCAGGTACCTGCTTCTGCTGGCAGTGCTCAGTCCACAGCGGGACCCCAAGATGAGGGGAGGAGCAGGCTGGTTTCCGAGCAGGATTCCCAGCCTAGCTGCAATGGGGGAGACACAGTTCCAGAGTTTTGAACCTACCATCATCACCTGGTTGTTTAACCAGCTCAAGGCCAGTCTTCCCCGGTGTCCTTGCAACAGTCCCCAACAGCCTGGGCCCAGAGTCAGAGGCCTGTGTGCAAACGTAGCTCTGCATTTGATGCTGTGTGACCCCAGCTCGTTACTAGACCTCTCTGAGCCTCCATTTCTCACCTGTAAGTGGGATGATGCTGTGTGCCCTGAAGATTTGTGAAAGGGATAGAAAGCTTAAGCCACTGGGGGGACTTTGAGGACCCCTCATCACCTGCCAAGGAGGCAGATGGAGACTTGGGGCCCAAACTCCTCTTCTTAAAGCCAGGGTCACAGAACCGCTAGGGTGTCCACTCATCGCTGCTGACTTCAAATCTGGGTACCGTGGGGTTCTGGGCTCCCGGTTTCTGAAGGCTTTGCTGTCCTCGTGGGAGGTCAGGAAACACACAAAGTGATGTCTGTGGCCGCAGAGCCTGGAACGTGCCCACGTGTGCTTCTGCATGGGGACCTGAGTGGCCCCGGCTGTTGGAAAAGACTGGGGGAGGGGGGGAGCAGGGCCACGTCCTTCACCCTGGCTCCCTGTCCTTCCCAGATCAGTTCCCGAGGGCACAGACATGTTCGAGGTCTACGGGACCCCCGGGGTGGACATCTACGTCTCTCCCGGGGCCGAGAGGAGCCGGGAGCAGCGCGCTGACGTCGGGCGGTGGCACTTTGACGAGGGCCTGGAGATCATCGTGGTCATGAACTCCCCCAGCAACGACCTCAACGACAGCCATGTGAGCCTCCCCGGGTCTGCAGGGCGGACGGGGACCGGGGGGAGGGGCAATGGCCGGGTTCTGGGAGCCCCCCTGACCCCCTCTGCAGGGTGTGAGCACCCGGCCCTGGAGCTGGGGTTTGAATCCCAGCACCACATCTTACAGCCCTGGGCTGTGGCACAGCCTCTGGGATTCATGCGCCCTCTATGCGGTGGGTGTCGTCATCACCCGTCCTCCTGGTGCGGGTGGACAGCAGCTGGCGCGTGCTCTCATCTCCCAAGGCCGCTGGAGAAGGGAGGGGTTGTCCAGCTCTGCTGTGCTGGGCCTCAGTTTCCCCATCTGTAGGCTGGGGATTGACAGAGACGGCCATCGTGGGAGAGGGATGCTGCTTCTCCCCAGGAAGACGCCGTCCAGGGGACATTTCCTGAGTTCCCTCCCTTCCTCGCACCCACGCTCTCCCTGACTCCATCTGCAGGGTTTCAGGACATTTAAGACTTGGAAGAAGTGATGTCCCCTCAAAGAGACCAGGAGTTGGTAGTAGGAGGTGTTGTCCCTTCCCACTCTAGAGCAATGTTCTAGGAATCGGTCCTTTAGGGAGCACTGACCGTGGTCCCTGGGCAGCTGGCACCTCCTCCAGCTGTCACTGCAGCCTTGAGAAGTGGGGAATGATCTCCCTCTCATAAGAGGCAACCACAGTTCACAGGCCCTGTGTGGGGCTCCAGAGCCAGGACACCAAGGGCAAGTTCCCTGTCGCCCCACCTCTGTGTCCACCATGTATCTAAATGAGCCTTTCTCCAAGCTCTATGAGGCGTGTGTGGCAGGACTGAATGGACCCATTTTCCAGATAAAGAAACTGAGACCAAGAAGAGGCATGTTTTGGTTTAGCCACTAGCAAGTGGCAGGGTTGGCAAGGGCAGGATAAAGTACCCAGAGCAGCTCAGGAGGACTTGCTGGCCTGTGCAGTCTCCTCCAGATGCCCTGTGGAACTAGGGGTTGAGCTGGCACCTTCCCAGCCTAAGTTCCTGGCCACAGTGACCTTCAGAGGAAGGTCAGAGACTCCTTGTCCTGCCCTGCTTTTGGGATCCAGGCAGCTGCAAATTGGGGGAGCAAATCATAGTGTGACCTTGGCATGTGGAGTGTGTGATCGCAGGGTTTAGGGGCTACCAGAACTGTGGGCTAAAGACCCTGAGCCTCAGCTGAGAGCAGGACCTCAGAGCCTGAGTGTGGAAGGAGCCACGTCTGGGGACGACATCCCAGGGGAATCACGGGTCAGCAGGGACCTTGATGAGCCCGCCTCTAACCGCCCGTCATCATCTGTGTCTTCACCTTCACCCTAAACCATTATGGGGTGCTCGCTGCAGGCCAGCGACCATGCTGAGAATGTGGCTGTCACCCCGGGCTTTTTTTAGCGGGGGAGTATGAGCTCACTCATTTGCTAAGTTGCCCAGGCTGGGTTGGAACTCTCCATCCTCCTGCCTCAGCCTCCCAGAATACTGGGATTACAAATGTGTGCCACCGTGCTCTGTCTGTGTCCCTGTTTCACAGGCTAAGAAATTTGAGGCAGCTCAGAGAGGTGCAGGGCGCTGACCAGGGTCACAGAGCTCCGAGGTGCTGGGCTCAAGGCCAGGGCTGCTGAGCCTTACTGATAGCAACACTGGCCTGGACAGACTTCCTAAACCCTGTCTTGTCCAAATCCTTCGTTTCACAAAGGCCAAACGGAGGCCCAAGGAGGACCAGGGCCTGCCGGCACCCCACGGTTGGCTGTTGGTGGGCCCAGGACCCAGGCCTCCACGGACCCCTCCGGAAGTTCCCATTCTCAGATGGGCCAAACAAGGCACGGAGGACTAAGTGGCTCGGATAAGGCTCCAGGAAGACCTGGCCAGGCTACAGAGGTCCCTGAGGCTCCTGCCCCTCCAGGCCTGTCCTGAGGCAGAGGTGCCGGCTGCCCAGCTCACGGGCTCTCTCCTCCGCAGGTGCAAATCTCCTACCACTCCAGCCGTGAGTCCCTGCCCCTGGCCTACGCCGTGCTCCACCTCACCTGCGTGGGTAAGTCCAGGCTGGGCTGGGGCTGTGCCCTGAGGCCCTGGCCAAGGGCAGAGAGCTGGTGGTTAACAATCATCTGACCAGGGTCTGTATTAAAAAGTCAATTCCTTTTATTTCTTAAAATCAAAGGAAGACATGCGCATTAGAAATCTCAGTAGTACAAAAAAAGAGTTTACACTGAAAAATAAACCCAGACTCCCGGTTCTCTGTGTGGCGGTGGACGTACCATTGCTGGTACAGCCTCCCTTTCTGTGAGCAAACAGTCCAGCTCAGGAACCGGACCTTGCTTTTTTTCAACTTACATGTTTTCTGAAAATTCTCCATAAATTGATGCACTGTGTCGACTCTGTGCGGGATGACTCTGATGCTGAACTATCAGACGGGAAATGTGAAGTGACCCTGCTGCCCGTGTGAAATGCTCTCATAAAAAAGGTGGACGACACGTATGAACAGACGGGAATTAAAACGGAGAGATGAGCAGAGTCAGAAACGGTGAAAGGGAAAAAATCAGAGCAATAGAGAGGAGAAAAGCCATAGACACAGCTGAAGAAAGAATCGATGGACCTGAGGACAGGTCGAGAGAAGTTACCCAAACAGAAACACAAAGAGGGAAAAAATGAAGCAAAGCTCACAGAGGTGTGAGAGCTCCGAACCGTACCAGACAGCCTGAGCTCCGTGAAATTTCCACAAGTGGTTTTAAATGGAATTCTATGAAGCTGATCCTGAAACTCACAAGGAAGCACAAAAGGCAGGAATCACCAAGACGATTTTGATAAAGAACAAGGTGGAAGGATTCACAGTACCAGATAGCAAGACTTTTCCAAGCGCTCACACCTGAAGCAGCAGAAATTTGTGCAGTTAAGTGCATAAACCAACGGCACAAACACAGAGCCTGGAGACAGACCTAGGCTCCTGAGGTCTATCGTGTAAGAATAAAAGAACTTGGGGCCCTACCTCACACCGTAGTCAGAAACAAATTTCACGTGAGTTAAAATCTCAAGATAAAAATTAAAATGGTAAAGATGGCTGAGGCAGGAAGATTGCTGTGAGTTTTGGGGCCAGCTTGGACTACATGGTGAGAGAGACCCTGTCTTCAAAAGAAAATAAAAATTGAAGAGATTTTTAAAAATAGTATCTCTATAGCTAAAACTTGGAAAGGTTTTTTTTTTTTAAATACAGTAAGAAGCACAAACCAGAGAAGGAATGTTGGTAAATTAGGCAAGCTTGAGATTTAAAACTATATTACGTTACAGCACGTGCAAGGAAAAAGTCAAATTATGGGCTAGGAGAAGAGATTTGCAATGCATATGTTGACTCAGTGCATGTAGATTATGGAGAAGTCCAGTAAAAATGAGCTAACAAGCAATAGAAATGGCTGAAAATGGGAACGACCGTTCTGCAGGGGAGAAGTGCCCTTGGATAAAACCCACACGCAGAGCTGCCTAACTAACTGAGCGCTGTCACAGGTGTGGGGCCGGGGACCTCCTTCTGGGGGCACCAGGGAGGGTCCGCATTCATGCAAGCCTGGGAAGCAATCAGCCAATGCTTTCTCTACCGACGGCTTTTGCAGAAGTGGAGCTCGTGGGCTGAGGTGGAGCATATTTTAAATGCTGGTTTTCAGAATGACTGTGCCACCGATACGCCTGTCCACAGTGCCCGGGGGCAGCCTTGTAGCGCGCCATCTCCTGGCTGCTTGAATTTGCCTTTCTTTAGTTAGGGGTGAGGTTGGGCCCAAACGCATGCCTCTGAGCACAGCGCTTCTTCCTTCTCTGGAGACAACTGCCTCCTGGCCTACTCATCTCCTTGCTTTTCCTTACGGTCCCTTCTCCTGAATATGCACACCGTACACCGAGGGCTGGGGCTGGTGCCACTGTGTGAAGTTTCCAGGGAGGAATCACGTTGTCTGCGCCTTTTTCTGTTGGGCTCCTGGGCCAGTGGTGATGGGTATCTTTTCTCGTTGGATCACTGGTTAAAATCTGTTTCTTCCCTTTCTCTCTTCTTTAAGAGCTCTGATGGTTTTTGTAGATGCAGGAAGACGGGTTCTGAGCCCTGGAATATTCCCCTTGGGTAGTAAGACTCCCCCGGTTTCCAGGGAGCAATGTGAAGATGGGCTGAGGTGAGGACCCCGGGCTGGGATTGGGGGGCTGGAGACAGCTGCCCACGCGGAGGTTTAGAAAGACAGCACAGCCAGCGGGTAGCAGAGCCCAGAGTCACACCCGGGTCAATCTGACACTAAAGCCCAACTCACTGTCTCAGCCCAAGCTTCACTGGGGACAAGGAGGTCCCTGGCAAGCTGGGCTCGGTGCGCAGTGTGCCCCTGTCAGCTAGGGCTCTGGGGGTCCAGAGGAGGGGCCACCAGGAAAGGCTTCGTGGAGGAGGTGGCCTTTAGCCCCAGGCTTTGGTCCCACAGCTGTCCCTCTCCAAGGCCTCTTTCTCCAGTCCAGGGAGGGAAGGAGGCCTCGGAGTCCTGTCTCTGGGTTGTGTCTGCCCTGAGAAAAGGCTAAGAACAGGGGCCTCGGGAACCTTGTGGGAACTCACCCGCCACCTCTCCCGCAGACATCACCCTGGACTGTGACCTGAACTACGAGGGCAGGAAGGACAGGAGCTCCGTGGACAAGGTGGGCTTCCAGGCCTGGGCCTGGACAGGGGGAGGAGTGTGGAGCTGGGGTGCGAGGGGGAGAGACCATTAGAGGTGTCCCCTGGCTCTGCCTCCCAGGGGTTGCTACGGTCACAGGAGCCAAAGGAGGACCAGGCCTGGGTAGGGGAGGGCTCCTACCAGGAGAAAAATCACCGTCCAGATGGTCAGGCACAGAGATCCTCAGCCTTTGTCAGAAGAAAGTTCTGACAGCCCAGGTCAAGTATTGGCAAATGTATCTTTAAAAAATAAAAACCACAGAGTAACTACACCAGTCTTTGAGGGCCAGACTGCCTCAATGCTGTCACCATAGTTTGGAAGCAGCCACAGCCAAGACAAATTGGTGACATGGCAGTGTTCTGATAAAACTTTATTTACAAACTCGGGCAGCGAGCAGGGTTTGGTCCCCGGCCATAACATGCTGACCCTGATCTGGGGGAACAGTGTTTCTGCGGGTGTGGACGGTTAAGCATCCTTGGGCTCAGTTGTAGGGGCCCTGAATGCACTAAGAATGCAGAAGCGGCCAAGGAGGGGAAGCGGGCAGAGAAGGCTTCCCTGGGAGCGCAGGAGGAGGGCATTCGGAGTGTAGGATCAGCAAAAACAAAGGCATAGAGGGAGGCGTGGAGGGATGAGATGGTGTGAGCTGTGTGTCCCTGTAGCCAGGAGGTTGCTTACAGAGAAATGCCATATGGGCTGGAGGCGCATCACAGGTAACCATCACAGAGAGCTGTGGCTTGGACTTGATGGTGTGGGCACTAGGGAGCCACTGATAGTTCTTGAGCAGGATGTGGTTAGGTGAAACGGAGCTCTCCTCACAGGGTAGGATGAAGGCTTAGGAGTCTCGCAGGGGACGCTGGGGAGGAAGCTCCGGTCTGGCCCACACCCCCCTCTTCACTGGCTGTGTTTTCCCATTGCAGCGGCAGTGGGTCTGGGGGCCTGGTGGCCATGGAGCTATCTTGCTGGTGAACTGTGACAGGGACGAGCTGGGCTGTGATGTCCCGGACAACTGTGACCAGCACGTGCGCTGCCTGCAAGGTGAGGGACTGGGGCTGCCTGGGGCCATGAGTGTCCAGGGTCACTGCTCCGGCCCCACAGAGGTTCTGCCCTGTAGGCCAGGCTCCTCAGGCAGAAGTGGGGGCTCCAGCTCCCAATATATCCTGATGGCCCTCAAGCCCATCTCTGGCTGGAAGCGCCTGTCCCTGTGTCCCTGGAGCCTGCAGATACTCCACCGTGAGGCAGAAATGCTAGAAACAAACGTTTCTTCCTTCCACGCTCTTTCCCCACATCCTGTTTAATCGTCCAAGTTGGAGAGTGTCATTGCCCCAACTCAGAGACAAGGACATGGAGGCTCAGAGGGAGGAGAATCCCCAAAGTCATATTCTGTCTGTGTCGACCCCAGGCTTCCCTTTCCCCAAATCCAGACTCCAGCCCCCAACCTCTGGCTTGCCTTCCGGGCCACCCACACTGTGAGTCTGTCCGAGGCAGCGATGCCCTGGGGAGGGCAGGTGCTGCCACCCTGAGGGCACGCGGAGATGGGGCCCTCCTGGCTTCGGAGGGGAGGACTCAGCAGTGTCAGAGCCTCGCCTGTGTGATGCCCGGGAGGGCTTTGCATTGAGCCCACCTCTCCCCAGCTGCCCTCCGGTGCCAGGCACGGGGCTTCTCCAGGCATGAGGAGACGCGGACCCAAAAGGGGACAGAGGTAGCAGGACATGTCACACACACCAAACATCAGGGCTTGGTCTTGATGCAGGCGCCATGAGTAGGGGCTGGGACACCTGGCCTTGACACCCGTGGACCTGGGGAGGTGGTAACAGGAGGAGGAGGCGCTGGGGGGCTGGGTCCCCTGAGTCACTCTGCTCTGTCTGGCTTCACAGACCTGGAGGACATGTCCGTCATGGTCCTGCGGACCCAGGGCCCTGCAGCCCTCTTTGACGATCACAAACTCGTCCTCCACACCTCCGGTTACGATGCCCAGCGGGCACGGGTCTTCCACATGTGTGGTGAGTCTGTGCCCGTGCCAGGTGCCAGGTGCAGGAAGCCTCTTCTCCTGCATGGGACGTGGGGTGCAGGCTCTGCTCGGGCCCAGGATCAGGAGTGTGGCTTTTTATGCAAACTTGAATGTGTGTTTCTGTGGCAGCCACACCTGGAAGCAGATTGGCTGGGTTGAGGTAAAGTTCCTTTGTGGGGCCTTTGTGCAAAGTAATACCCTTATGCTTCCCTCCTGTGGCTCCCCGCCCTCCTCTCCCAGGCCCTAAGGACTCCTGCGAGGCCTACAAGTGCGTGCTGGGCCCTGACAAAGCGTCCTACGAGGTGCCCCGTCTCCATGGAGACGAGGAGTGTTTTTTCGTGGAGGGCCTCTCCTTCCCCGACGCTGGCTTCCCGGGGCTCGTCTCCTTCCATGTCACCCTGCTGGATGACTCCAACGAGGTAGGGGTGGCCGGGTTGGAGGGTGAGAAATGGGCATTGCTGGCACCAAGGACCCCAGGCTTCTTTGCCAACCGCTGGCTTGGCTCCATCTTGCCGGTGGCTTTTTAAGCCCCGAGGTTGTAGAGCAGATTCTCGCTGTGGCTGGACTCTTGAGTCCAGCGCTCGGCTGCCCCCTGCAGGACTTCTCTGAGACTCCGATCTTCACTGACACCGCGGTGTTCCGAGTGGCGCCCTGGATCATGACGCCCAGCACCCAGCCACCCCTGGAGGTGTATGTGTGCCGGTGAGTCTTGGAGGAGGTGGGTGCTGGCCCCGCTGGCCCCTCTAGTCCTCAGGCCCCGGCTCTGAGCCACTCTCCTTCACTTGTCCCAGGGTGAGGAACAACACTCGTTTCGTGGAAGCTGTGGCGGAGCTGGCGAGTCGGGCAGGCTGCAAGCTGACCGTCTGCCCGCAGACCGAGAACCGCAACGACCGTTGGATTCAGGTAACTCTGGCCACCAGGCCAACATCCTGCCAGAGAGGCTTGGAGCTTTGGGGTTCCTGCTGCCCTTTCTGGTTCAAGACTCAGAGCTGCACTCCAGAAATCTCTGGAGACCTAGACACCCGCTGTTGCTGAGTCCACACCTGCCCTCTGCCAGATCTGGGCCAGGCACTGAGGTGGGCCTCGAGGGATGGCTGAGGTGTGGGGCACAAGCTCTGTGCCCTCAACAGCCAAACTAGGAGGCAATTTTGTTCCCCAAGAGACATAGGCACTACCTGGAGACACTTTTTTTTTTTAATCGGTACCGGGGATCGAACTCATGACCACCTGCTTGCAAGGCAGGTGCTTATGCCGCTGAGCTAAATCCCCAGCTGGAGACACTTTTAAAAAAAATGTCCAGCAGTATTGTGGACTGAACCTGGGCTTTCACTGAGCTATAGTCCCAGGCCTTTTATCTTGCTAAATCACTAAGTTGCCCAGGCTGGACTCGAACTTGTGCTCCTCCTGCTCAGCCTCCGTGAGTAGCTGTGTGCTTTGGACAGACAACCAGACCTCCCTGATCCTCCCTTTCCTGTTCTATCACTCGGGCAATGGTTAGCGGAGTTGGTGTTGACAACGGTTTAGGGCTTCCTGGGTGCAAACTAGTGAGCTCTGTGTTGGAGACTTAGCTCACAGTGCAGGCAGAACTGACCCGGACTTCACAGGTCCAAGGAGAGGTATTTGTGCCCCCCTGTGGTCCCAGGCACTGACCAGCTGCCAACCCCATGTGGAGGCCAGAAGGGCTGGCTGGTGCCCAGTGACCACCTCGACCCTCTCTGCATCCACCCTGTCTGGCCCAACACAAGGACACCCCAAGGTCACATCTGTGTTCTCATTTGCTGTCTTGCTAAGTGGCCACAGACAAGTGCCCCCCCCCAGCCTCCAGGCAGCAGACGTCCTGACCTCTGCCCTCCACACCTCCAAGAGCCCACAGGCTTGCGATGGTGACCCCGGGGGTGCAGTCTTCCTCAGGGGTCCCGGCACTGCGTGGGTGGAGAGCCGTGGCTGTCCACAGCGGGCGTCTCTTCCTCCTCTGCAGGATGAGATGGAGCTGGGCTACGTTGAGGCGCCACACAAGACCTTCCCAGTGGTCTTCGACTCCCCAAGGAACGGGGAGCTGCAGGAGTTCCCTTACAAAAGAATCCTGGTAAGTGGTTGCTACTGCAGCCCAGCCCAGGGATCCCGGGGCCATCACCCCAAAGGCCGTGCTGGAGAGAGGAGCCCAGGAAACAGAACTGGGAGCCCGTCCTTCAGGGATGGGGGTACGGCTGCCGGGTACAAAACAGACGATGCCCAGTCACACTTGAATTTCAAAACCCAACCAGTGACTTTGCTATAAGAATGAGCCAGACATTGCATGGGATAGACTTACACTAAGCAGAGCGTACTCATTTGCAATTTGAATTTCCTGGAGCATCTGACAGCCTTGGATGGGGAAGCGGATTGGGATCAGAGTAACCCTAGTTTGTCCTTGATGGTATGTCGTGTCCCTTAGAAGATGACCCTGAGGAGCCTAAGGCACGGTGGGCCATCCCCAGCCTCGGTCCCCAGGCAGCTATTTCAGAGTGTCCGATGGAGCCACAGTACCACTGAGCCCTTTTTCTGTCTCTGGGACTAAGAAATGACCCTGGATGGCAGGGCAGCAGGTCACGGGGCCTGAGTATCTCCCAACTTTGGCTACAATTGCTGCCTGGGTCATATCCATCTGTGACTCAGTATCTCTACCTGAAGAATGGGTATCTACTCCCATCCCATCTTTTAGGAGCCCAGAGCCCAGCATGCTGGCTCAAGCTCGTCCTGATGCCCACTGCCCCCTAACTCAGCTACCACCTCTCCAGGGTATAGATTTTGGTTATGTCACTCGGGAGCCACGGGACAAGTCTGTGAGCGGCCTGGACTCCTTTGGAAACCTGGAGGTCAGCCCCCCGGTGGTGGCCAACGGGAAAGAGTACCCCCTGGGGCGAATCCTCATCGGGGGCAACCTGCCTGGGTGAGAGGGCACAAGGAGGGCTTCCAGGGGGGGGGGTTGTGGTGAGTGGGCCATCAGCCCTGGGAGAAACCCTAATGAAGCCAAGAAACCTTAATGAAGGGGGAGGTGGGGTGGTGGGCCGTGCACCAGACCATCTATACCTGCCCAGAAGTCTGAGAAGGCCAGAGGAAGCAGGGCCCTGTAAGATTCTCCGGTCCAACCGCTTCACTTTACAAGGGGGCCCAGAGAGTCACACAGGAAAAGCAAACCGATGCCTGGACTCAGGTCTGTGATTCTGAAATACATAGATGATGCTGATACGAGAGCCTATCCGTTAATGATAACAGGAGGAAAACTTGCTTTTCCCAACAGTCCTGAGAAAAAGCATTTAAGTCAAAACTTGTTCATACTATGATGCAAACGACTAATAGTGGATCTTTTCTTGAGAGCAGTAGGGAGGTATAAAAGTGAGAAGGTGATGAGAGAGGGAGAGAGAGGAGAGGAGGGGAGGGGAGGAGAGGGGGAGGGAAGGGGAGGAGAGGGGGAGGGGGAGAGGGGAATGGGAGGGGAGGGGAGGGGAGGACAGGGAGAGGAGAGGGGGATGGGAGGAGGAGGGGGGAGAGGGGGACGGGAGGGGGAGGGGAGGGGGAGAGGGGAATGGGAGGGAGAGGGGGGAGGGGGAGGGGAACGGGAGGGGGAGGGGAGGAGAGGGGGATGAGAGGGGGAGGGGGGAGAGGGAGGGGAGGACACGTGCCCCAGGAGTGCCCTTGGAAAGGGGAACAATGCCCTCATAGCAATTCTTTGCTGCAGAATAAAACAAGACAATTCAGACACGGTTTGGCAAAGCGGTTAGAACAGACTTGGACTCAAGTAATGGACGAGCCCAGAGTTGAGGGGACCCCAAATATAAGATCCCCAGAAAGAGGAAATTGGGGTTGTGCTACTGCTTTCTCAGGAGGCACGAGCAGAACCGGATTTAGGTTCACAGTCGGCTGGGGCTGTGCGGTGGGCCCTTGGGTGGCCTGGCCTTGGCCACCGCTCCCCAGGGTCACGCAGGCGGCGGAGGCCGCACAGAGAGGTCTGAGTCTAACGCGAGGAGGACCTCCTGGAACCCAGGGTGGAATGGGTGTCTGAGGTCAGGGTCTGCGTGGTTCTGAGGGTTCCCCGGGAGGGAAGGACCTTAATCCCGGTTCCTGGCCTTCTGTGGCCAACCTGTCCCCAGTCTGCCTCATCCAGAGGAGAATTTAAAACACGCCTTTCTGGTCTTGCCTACTTACAAAAGCCGTGCACTTTTATAAAGTCAGAGATCGAAGGGTTCGTGCGTGGCCTCTTGTCACCCCATGTACGTCTTAGCCATGTGTCTTTTCCGACCTTGCGGGCCAGGTCGAAGGGCCGCAGGGTCACCCAGGTGGTGCGGAATTTCCTCCACGCCCAGAAGGTGCAGCCACCCGTGGAGCTCTTCGTGGACTGGCTGGCTGTGGGCCACGTGGACGAGTTCCTGAGTTTTGTCCCTGCCCCGGATGGGAAGGTACGGGCCGAGGACATACCTGTCCAGGCATCTGGGACGGGGCTGAGCTCCGCCGGCCAGGGGCGGCCCGGGACTCCGCTGATCTCTTCTCCGCACACAGGGTTTCCGGATGCTGCTGGCCAGTCCTGCTGCCTGCTTCCGGCTCTTCCAAGAGAAGCGGAAATGGGGTCACGGCAGGGCTCTCCTCTTCGAGGGGGTTGTCGGTGGGTCACAGTGCCATGTCCCTGATGCCGCTTGCCTGTCCTCTCCCTAAGGGAAGATGCACCATGGCTTTGGAGGGGGTGGCCCCAGAACCCCACGCCTTGCCTTGCAGATCCCCGCTGCCCTTGGTGGGGCTGAGTAAGGCAGTGGGACCAGCTGGCCCTGCCTCGGTGGGCATATGGTGGGCAGTTTGGCAGGGGTGACCCCTCACCAGCACCTCCCTGGCAAGCAGGCTGCACCGCTCCAGGGATAGTCTCTTAGGGGTGGCTTGGGGTGGCAGGACTTTAGGAAAGGGAGGTGCTGGCTCAGCGTGACCTCCCCCAAAGCTGGCCCAGCACGGGGGGCTCGGTGGGGAAGCAGCAGTGGGTTGCATACATGCAACAGTCAGAGCCAAGCACCCCACCCTATAGGGCCCACCCTGCCCCACACTGCCACCTCTCCTCAAGGGCACCACATAACCAGCAAATTAATAACACAAGGGGTCAAAAGGGGAAAGGAAGGAACACTTTTATATTTTAGTGCTTTTTTTGGTCACTGCTGGGGTAGTGCCTTACCCATGCCGAGAGCCCCTACCCCTGAGCTACTCCTAAATCCATAGCTTTTTTTTTTTTTTTTTTTTTTTTTGTATTGGAGATCGAACTCACAGCCTCACACTTGCCAGGCAGGCGCTTATGCCACTGAGCTAAATCCCCAGCCCACCCCATAACATTTTAATAATCCTTTTTCCTGCATTTTGAACAAGGAATGGGGCAGTTTTGTTTTGCACTGGAGGAACCGGGAGGGCGGGGCTGGCTGGGCTGCAGTGCCCGGTGTCGGTCTGCCCCCCTCCATCCCCAGGAGAGCTACAAGTCCCAGGACCCTTCCTTTAATCTGGGATCCTGAGGGTCTTTCGTCAGAGAGACCGTAGGTTTCATTAGTTCTGCGGGAACCAAATCTACCTGAGAGAAAGCTTTAGAGGTTTCCAAGTAAACTGTCCAGGTCTCTTGCTCTCTGCTTGCTAATGTCCCCCTCAGTGACACAGAAGGTTGCATTCCCCAGAGCCCCGCTCCCAAAGGGAGCATCTCAAGATTCCTTCGAGCCCAAGTTAAATCTTAAGATGCCTCCAACCCAGATTTGATGCACCTAGTCGGTGGCTGGGGAGGGGAAGACCCTTGTGCTTTCCTGGGACAGCCAGGCTTACGTGAACAAGGCCTGACACAGGCTGAGCAGAGCCTATCTCACGTCCAGCCTGCCCAGCAGGGACAGTCACTGAAGGCCACACACCGAAGCCCTCCCCTTTCCTTGGTCCTCCGAGAGTGAGCACTGGGCTCATAGCGTCCCTTCCATCCTGGCTGTGTTCCCTTGGGCAAGTCATCTGCCCTCTCTGAACCTCAGTTTCCTCATCTGTGAAGTGGGGGTGAGACGCTGAATGCAGAGCTTCGACTCCATGGGCATGGCCAGCCAGGCAGGAGACCGGGCCTCTGCGGGGCTCTGCCATGCAGCATCTCCCACAGGGCAGGCCTGGGCATGCTGGTGTGGGGTTCCCACGACTAGCTGTTCAAGTGCTCAGTGAACTCATAAGGGCTGGCCCTGGGGCAAGGGACAGACAGCTCCTGCTCCAGCCTCCCATTGGTGGAAGGAAGAGGATGATCACTCAGAGCCCTGGGGTGGTGCTTAATTAATTTCCGGCTGAGGGCATTAGCGCCTCCTTGAGTCCATGTCACTGTGGCTGCCAGACCTTCCCATGACCCCACTCCAGCACTGTGGCTACGCCCAGCACTGTGGCTACGCCCAGCTCTGAGCCACACTCACCCCATGCATGGCAAAGTCACTGGCCAACCCAGCAGACCAGTGGCCATGAGCTTGGCCTCTGCTCGTCTACTTCCTTCTAATGTGGGCCTTTCTTGCCTCCTCTGTGTCTCTCTGTCCTTCCCAGGTGACAGGCGGGTCAGGACCATCTCCATCGACCAGGTCCTTTCCAATAGAAACCTCATCAGCTTTAATAAGTTTGTGCAGGTACAAAGGCCATGGGCTGAGTGGAAAGTGGGCCGGGCTGGGGACATCTGAGGCTCACGGCCACGAAGGCTTGGATTGGAGTGGACCCTGACCGAGGGCCTGCAGTGTCCTGTTTTGACTTGAGCTACATGCATCCGAGGAGCAGGTGGCAATGGCCACCCCCTGGCAGAGGTGTAACCTCATGCAGGAGGAGGGATCTGGAGCCCTGGAAACTTCTGTGAGGGACGTTACCAAGGCCATGCTGTGGGAAGAGAAGAAATAACAAGAGATCAGTTAACAAGGCCGAGGAGCCCAGGCCGGAAGGGCAGCCTTCTGCAGCTGCTGGGGACATGGTGGGAAGGAGACCGATCTGGACAGGTCTTCTAGGCAGTGCCTGCAGGACGTGCTGTGGGACTGGAGCAGAGCGAGAGGGAGGACGGTATGGGGGCGACAGCTAGAAATGGATACTTCATCTCTGATGCCACCGTGTGTTATTAAATGTCCAGCAGAGGTACACACTTGTACACTTGTAATGGTACAAGTCTTAAATCGAGAAAGAGATGGGGCTTTATAGAGAAGGGGTGAGATAGAAATGTGGGTGTCGTCAGTGTATAGATGGTGTTTCAAACCACAAGACTGAATGAGATCTATGAAAGAGTGGGAGACCTAGAGGGAAAGGTTGGGGATAGAACATTCTAGAACATTCTCAATTTTAGCCCAATTTTAGACAGGGTTATGGGGGAGGATATAGACCGTGGATATTCTGACTAAAGGACACAAAGATAATGTTTTATGGATAATCTGATATTCAGGCCCCTGTCACTGCTCAATCACATGTGACCGCTTGGTGTGCTCGACACACACTGGCTAGGTCTCCCCAACTTGGCCTTTCTCTCCCCAAGAGCTGCATCGATTGGAATCGTGAGGTGCTAAAACGGGAGCTGGGCCTGGCGGATCGAGACATCATTGACATCCCACAGCTCTTCAAGTCCGAGCAGAAAAAGGCGATGGCTTTCTTCCCTGACCTGGTGAGGCCACCGTGGGGAGCTGGGCTTCCTTAGAGGAGGCCTACCATGACACTGGTGGCAGTCATGTTTGGGGGTGGTGATGGCTGGAGTGAAGGATGGGGGTCCCGTGATACCCAAGCTGACAGCAGGACTTCCAGGAGCTGATCTCCATGGTCCATGCAGCTGGCCAAGCTCCAGCTCTGGAGCCATCAGGGGAGGGACCCCTTGACATTCATGGAGTGACTGAATGATTGTGCATTGCATGTATGAATCCCGAAGCATCTTGGAGCTCAGGGGCTATTCTGCTTGACCCTCCCGCTCACAGTTATTCATCCCACATAAAGCAGGCGTCCTGTGAAGCTGCAGGGGTGATCCAGGGTGGCCTCTACTCCCCAGGGGCTTCACTCTGATCTGCTCAAGGGCACTCTGTCCTCACCTCACCTCTCTGAGGACACATGTGGCAGTTTGGTGCAGGGCAGATCACTCCTTACCTGAGAGGTAGAATGCAGATCAGAGAAAAGCCCACAGTGAGTGGGAAAACGGGGCCAGAGGGCTTTGCCTTTGGGGCCCCGGATTACGATCTCCCTTCTAAAAACCGAGGACAGCTGCTCCCCCTAGTCCCTTGATCCACCAGGCCTGAGGGGGTCCCTGAGGGGGATGCTGCTGCCTCTCTCCACAAGCACCTAGATGGTGCTGACTTTGGGTCACCCTCTCTTCCTGCGTCTTCTCTTCCTCCCCTTCCTCTGCCCTCAAAAGAGCTCAGCTAGGGCTGGGGATTTAGCTCAGAGGCATAAGCACCTGCCTTGCAAGCAGGCGGTTGTGAGTTCCATCCCCCGTAGTACCGGTAAAAACAAAAAAAGAGGAGCTCAGCTCCTCCCTCGTCAGCGCTGTGGGGAGCCTGTCCACACCACGATTGCTTCATTTCCCCTTCTGCTTCCTTCTGGCTTCTGCCCTCCCTTGAGAAGCCTCCTGTCACCCACTTCCTTCCCGATGTTTCCTTCCTGTGGCCCTGTAACTGTGTGTTGCTCCCGGAAGCTTGGGCAATGGCTTGGGTTCTTGTGTCCACAACAAACAGAGGCCACCCAAGCTGGCTTCAGCCAGAGGAGGGTCTGACACAGGGACTTGAATCCTGAGGGCTGGGACAGGTGCCTGTTTCTGTGTTTACATGATTCTCTCCTTTCTATTCTTTTTCCTCTTCCTTCAGCTTAATTCGTTTGCTACCTTGCCCTGAGGACAGATTTGAGGATGACCACGCATTGTAGTTCATGCACAGGCAGAGACCTGGACTTTCCTGATGTCAGCTCCTAAGTCCTAGGAGAGGCAGTCTGATTGGTTCATCTTGAGTCAGACACCTGCCCTGGTCCAATCAGTGATAGCCTAGGAGGTGGGGATTCTGCAGCATATACATGATGGGCACCACGGTGCACCAATCCAACAGGGAAGCAGTTAGCCACCCTGGCTAGCTCTGCGGAGCTTACACGGGCACCCGGCTCTCGGGCTCTTACCCACTGTGCGAAATAAGCCAGTAGCTATCTTCGAGGCTGCCTGAAAGGCAGGCTCAGGTCCTGGGGGTAGGTGCAGATGTGTAGGGGGGAGGCACTGATGGGAAGAGCTGAGCTCCCTACTTCTTTGCAGGTGAATATGCTGGTGCTGGGGAAGTACCTGGGCATCCCCAAGCCCTTTGGACCGATCATCAACGGCCGCTGCTGCCTGGAGGAGAAGGTGCGCTCGCTGCTGGAGCCGCTGGGCCTCCACTGCACCTTCATCGACGACTTCACCCCATACCACATGCTCCATGGGGAGGTGCACTGCGGCACCAATGTGCGCCGGAAGCCCTTTGACTTCAAGTGGTGGAACATGGTGCCCTGAGCCAGCTCCCGCCCACTTCCTTCCTGGGCGGGGCATCAGAGGCTGGCCCCCTGAACAGTGAGCATCTAGAGACCCCCAGATTCCAGGCAGAATGCTGAGGGTGACTGTGCCCTTGGAAGCCTCTTCCCTAAAGGATCCACACCCACCTGCAACCCATTTGGCTCCCCAACATGAATCCTCTTGGCCTCCCACAAAGGACCTCATTTCTTGTGTCCTCCCATGTGAGTCAACATGACCCATGCGGACTCCCCACCAAATTCCCTTTGTCAGCCGATCCCCACACCTTCTGTTTGGCAACAAGTTCATTTTGGGGTCTAGAAACATCCATCTCGTTAGCCCTCTGGTCCTGTGTGTTCTCACGGAGAAAGCCCCCCACCACCTATCTGCTTTGGCCCAGTGGCCTCCTGCTCCTTGGAGTGATGCTAGTATCACACCATTATTTACAGGACCACCAGGAGGATGTGTGGGGCCATTTCGGTCAAAGTGGGGCCATCGCTCCCACTCCCCACACTTCTGTCCTGCCCTGTCCGAGCCTTCACATGGTAGAAGCCCCTCGGCATGCATCGAATGATGGTTGTGTCTTAGCCATATAAACTCCCGCCACTGGACATTCAGAATGCTGGCTTTGTCCAAAAGGCTCCTGGAATTTCTTGGAGGTGAGAGTGTCTGGGGATGTTGATCTGCAGACGCCTGAGGCCATGGACAGGAAGTGTCTCATATTGCACAGAGCTGACCCTGGTGACCACCCTGTGCAGGAGGAGAGAGCCTAGTGGACATGGCCCTCAGCCTTCCCACTATGCTGCAGAGCCCCAAGACGGCTCTGGAAGGGACAGCTCGGGAATGAACCTGCTCTAAGAGCAGAGGGTGGGTAAGGGCTTGGTTTCCTCAAGGCACGTGTTAGCTAGGTGTGTGCTCTGTATGGGTCCAGCTGGGTTTCAATTACTCGCTAATAAATCAACGGAAACATACATGATGTGGGCGTCACTTTGCCCTTCTTTGGGCTTAGAAGAAGACAGCAGCATCCGGGGAGTTTCTGGCCATGGGCACATTTGCTTGCCTGGCTGCCTGAGAATGCACGGCTGATCAACCAAATCTGGCTGATGTGATGCGACTGCTTTGACTTGGTTCCGGAAAGAACCAGGGCTATCACAGGCAGCTGTGACATTATAGATGTGCAAAAACAAGCCTGGGGAAGCAGATCCAGGCTGCAGGATTTTGCAAGCAAGGGGATTCTTCTGGGGAGACTTTGCCAAATCCTGAGAGAAAGACTTATCCTTCAGGTAGAGAAGGGCGCATTTCTGCGCATGCGCAGACAGAGATCCTGCGGCTTTAGGCATCCAAGGTTTAAACTCGGCAGAGGGGACCACTAGGGGCATCCGTTATTACAATGAGATTATAATGAGCAACGCTCACTCTAGGGCATCTCGGTGAAGAGCTGGGTGGCTTTTGTTCGTTTAAATCTGTTCTCACTGACGGGTCCCATCAGAAACAAAGAAACCACCCGAGGGACCTCAGCAGTCACGGGGGACAGCATCTTCCTAGGCCAGTACTGAAGCCTAAAAGTTTCTGCCTGAAAAAATGGTGTCTGCTATGTGACCCCCTCCAGGCCTCCTTTCTATGTCCCGCACGCTAGGAGGGAGGGAGACCCCTGGGAGCAGGAGGTCAGACTTGGCGTCTAGGAAAGGGGCTGCCGTCTCAGCAGCTCCTGGATCTGAATCTGCTGTCGCAGCTACACAGGGACAGGAGCTAGGACTGTCCTTGCAAAGCAGATTAGTAGCTCTGCATGATCCAACTCATGGTCTCTTTGGCATAATAACTGCAGGGCTTTGGCAGGAAGCTGCCCAAACCTGAGGCTTCCTGCAACTCCCCATGGGAGGAAGGGATGGTCGGGGGCTGGGGACCTAGGAAGGGCGACTGGACAGAGACCATGGGAACTGTCATTTCCTAAATGTCGGGGTCACGCCAGCTCGTCTGCAGTGTGATGATGCTGAGCGTCAGTGGTGTGCTGGGTGTCCTGAGTACTTTACTCCTTTGAAGCATGTTGTCAGCTACTGCTAGGACACCCATTTTACCAATGGGGAAACTGAGGCACAGAGCAATGAAAGAACTATCCAGGTCACAGATCTGGGTGACCTCTGTATCTGAGCTCTTAACCACCTGCCCCAATGGTTCTCAGCCCATCTACATGACAGAATCATCTGGAAGCCTTTTAAAGCTAGCAAAGCCACCCTGCTCCCTGACCCCTGAGATCCTGCCTGGACATCAGGGCATTGTGCCATGCAGCCTGGTGTCTTTGACTTGTGGCCAGGGGAGAGCAGCCGTGACCCACTCAGTGACCTTTAGAGTCCTCCTAAGCAGCTGTCTCTCCCCGCAACCCTCAACCTAGAATCAGCAGTTTCAGGAGCCCTCAGTCTCCTGTATCCAGCAGTCACTTGGACTTTGGTGGCATCTCCAGCAAACAGACAGTTCCATTCAAATTGTTCCATGGGGCCAGTGGCTCTTAAACACGGCGCGTGAGATTAGCCCTAAGAGATCACTAAAACCACAGATGCCTAGATCCCTCCAGCCAGGCTCCCCTGCCAAATCCCTGGGCCCAGACATCTGTACGTTGTACAGATTTGCAGGATGGGGTTGGGGCGGGATTTGTTGCATATCTTGTTCAAAATACCAACACTGAGCCAGACACGTGATGCACCTAGGTACCCTAGCACCGGGGGAGGCTGAGGCAGAAGGACTGTAAGTTCCAGTCCAGCCGGGAAAATTTAACAAACCCTTGTCTCAAAACAAAGACTAAAAAGGGCCGGGGATATAGCTCAATGGTGGAGCACCTCTGGATCCATCCACCTACCAAAAACCAAAACCAAAACAAAACAAAACAAAAAGCCAATTATTTCTTAACTGTTGCAAAAAAAATGGAAAGAGAGGGGGTTATGTGTGTAAGTCTGCTACGGTGCATTCCATACCTGGGGCCACTGGAGAATCATTTTAAAAGGATAAATACAGCCGGAAATGGTGGCATCACACACCATCCAGCACATGAGGATCACTGTGACTTCTGGGCCAGCCTGGGCTCCGTAGTGAGTTCAAGACCAACCTGCACTGCATAGTGCATAGTGAGACCCTCCCTGTTTAAAAAAAAACAAAACAGGGTGAATAGAAAATACTGTTTACTCACAGTAGGGTATTACTATGCCCGAAAGAAGGATAGATCTGAGTCATCTGCATAAAAATGGATGCACATTGAGACCACAATGCTGTCAAATAAATCAGAAATAGAGATTTAAATATTGCATGGTTTCTCAATCTTTGCAAATAGGAAGAGGATGTGAAAGGAGATAGAGAAGGAGGGGCGGGGAAGAGGATATAAAAAAGAATTCAGATGTGTTATGCTCAGGTACGACTGCCCACAAAGAATGTAATCACTGTGAGCTGTGTACCAATTTTTTAAAAAGACAGGGCGCGGCATAGCGGGCGCGGTGTGGTATCAGCCTGGTTACCGCGACCTGGAGGTCACCCACGCCACATCCCAGTCCCTAGGAATCTAGAGCCGTGCCCAACCCCTGTGGTCAGTCTCAGGCTGCCCGTACTCCGCTCCCTGTTTGTGTAGTGGCTCTGGGCCTCCTGTGCTCATCCCGTCGCGGTGAGGAGCCCTGGAGAGAGGTGAAGGACTCCAGGCTTGGTTCAGTGTAACCAGAAACGGGGGCGGCCCTCATTAAAGACCCAAGGACGGATGAAGCATTTGGGGAAGTGGCTCTCTCTGCCTTCCCTACTTTCCTGTTTGTGGGCAGTGAAGCAACCAATGTGCCAATGCGGACACAGGCTGTGTTTTATTTACTAACCTGCACCCATCTGTTGTTGCTTATGAGAGACAGCTTTGCAGAAAGGGCCCAGAGCTGGGAGCCAAGTCTCCCCAATGTTCTTGTTTATTCGCTAGATGTTTATTGAACACATAGTGTCTCTGTCCCAGCAGTAAGTGCTGATGCATGTGGCACAGACCAAAGCACCACCACGTGCTTCCTGGCACTGCTGTTCACCAGCTGTGTGACCTTGGACCAGCTGCTTGCCCTCTCTGAACTTTACCGTGCTGGTTGGTAAGATGAAGGCATTACAGGCACTGTGTGTCCCGGAGGGGTTTCTGGGAGCAGTGGAAAATCATCACCCAGGTGCTTGGCACGGTGCCTGGCACACAGTGAGCGGCTGCTGTGTGACGGGAGGATATACCCTGAAGCCCCTTCCTTGAGGAACTTAAAAAGACAGGCAGGCGTGTTTGGCCCCATTTCTGGGTGCAGCCACCCAGGGAGTGTCCTGTCCGCTTCTCCTTGGTGATAATCCTTCTGTTAAAGTCACAGCTGGACATGTAAGGACTCTAGCTTTAGCAGACTTTGCTCAGATGTACAAAGCATCTGAGCATCCTTGGTTGCTCCGGGGCGCAGAGACATGTTTTCACCAAGCCAGGGCACGAGGAGATCAGGCTCTGTTTCCCTGAGAGCATCACTCCGATCCTGGGCGCCAGGTCTAGGGTCCTGCATCTCAGGGACCTGGACCCTGGTGGGAGGCTGGGCTGAGCAGCACCCTGAGCCCCTCCGATGGCCGTGCTGCACATAGCTGGTATCTACCTGGGGATCTGCATCGGCCCTGAGCCCTGTATTCCAAGTGCTCCAGGTCCATTCTTTTCTGACCCTTTCTTGGGTCTTTAAAGGCGTCTCAGCATCCTGAGGAATCGGGTCTCGGCGTTAATCATCTTAATCTGAAACACCTTGATGGAAGAAATGACAGAGTCCGTTTCCCAGGCCCTGGCAGGCAGGGGTCTGAGCCAGGGGGCAGGGCGTGGCCCAGAAATGAACCCTGTGAGTAACACTGTCCTGCGGGTGTCCACAGCTCAGGCACTGCCCGGATGCATGTTCTGTTTTCTTAATCTTTCCCTCCCTGGACACTTTCTTCAAGGGAAGGGAGTCAACTCATAAAGGGTACACTCAGCAACTTGCTGATTAATAGAGAAAAATAAAGACACCAAATAACAGGGTAAAAAATCTGGGAAATAAAGACCAGGAAAATAGACATACACATGCCCAAAAGTCCAGGGATAAGGGCAGATTTAGGATCTGAGCGTCTCAGTAGCCTGTGACACACAGAGACAGTATCTTGGTTAATCAGAAGGCTCAGTAAGAAAAGCTGTCCATTCTCCTAAAGATACTCATTACTGATTAGGGAGAGAGGCTCCCGAGTAGTTTCTAAAATTTATGTAGAGGTGCAAAGAGCCAAGAATAACTCACTCACCCTTCATGGGAAAAGGTAAGAGCAAATGCTCAGCCAGGCGTCTAGATACAGCCATGATACTAGGACAGCACAGAACATAGGCAGACGCCGACAGATAGTCCGTGCACGACAGACGGCCAGGCACTTTATTATTAAATTACAAGAACCGTCTATAAATTCCATATACTGGGCTGTCATCGTTTACATATATTATAGATACATTTTCTCCCAGCTTGTGGCTTGTAGTGTTACCCTGTCCACCTGTCTTTTCATACACAGCAGTTCTTGATTTTAAGTTAGTAAGTTTCAATCCTTTCCCTTGATCATTTTGCTTTGCGAGCCAGTATTTAGAATATCTAAACAATTCCCATCATTCAATAAGCATAAGAAAAAAAGAAACCACGCAGTTAAAAAATAGGACAAAAACTTTGAATAGACCCATTCAGAAACCAGAGATTTTCCATAAACTAGTGAAAGTTATTCAACTTTATTAGTTATCAAAGGGATTCAAATTAAGGCCACAATGGGATACGACAGCATGCTCACCAGATAGGTCGAAATAAATCCGTACACAGAAAAGGACCCTTAGCGAGGAGCTTCCTAACTGCTGAAACTGACATGATCACTGAAGACACCTTGGTGCTGCTCAGCGAAGCTGGCAGTGCCCACACCCTGTGCCAGCCGTGCAGCTCCCAGGTGTGTGTGAGCTGAGGGTGA